GGGGTCACCTTGGGAGCTGTTTGAACCCCCATGATGATAACGACAATTATGTCTAGAGATTTCTCACAGTAAAACACACAGTAAAACGCATGATGAATTCAGTTGGGGTAGTGGGTCTGGATCAGATTCCTAACATGAATATTTGTAGTGAATGCATCAATAATCAAACCTATTATCAACGATTGGACGAATGTTCCTGAAGAGCTGACTTCTGTATTTGTTTCTAAGGTCGGAATCATCGAGCAACTTGGATGGACTGGGCGGTTGAGCAACTTGTCGCCTGTAAAATCTGAGGTAACTATATATAGTTATTTATCCATAGTTCATGGTGTATAATTTCCACTGGATTTCAGATGATTTAGGAAGTTAATTGAAGCGCTTAAAAGTCCTGAAGCACCAATGACTGGGGATACATCATGGTGTAACTGGGGAAACCGAATGCATGAGGACGAAGAAACAAAAAAGATGCGGGGCATCCAAGATTATCTGTGATAGTTTTGAACGTGATGAAGCATTTGGAAATACACCTGCCAGAATTATATACTTGGTAAATATTCAGTACACAGTATATAACTATATATATATATCTAAAGTGGATCTGTGTATGATTGTATGTATATTGTTCCAGTTCATCTACTGTATAGTTGGCTTCCTTGCTTTATTATGTTGAAACATATTTCATGAAACCTCCCAGGATCATCCAGTGTTTGCAGGTGGCATCCTCCACAAATCCCAGCCATAATCTGCAATTGACAGTTGCCATTTGCAACAGGAACCTCATGTACAAATGGCTGATTTTGCGATACAATATTTCCCCTTTTGACAAGTTCACCAACCCTTGAAATAATCACTATAGAACCCCCAACATGATCACTGAATATCCCAATCCTCTTATTAATCCCCGCTTTTCCAGTTCCCTGTCAGGAAGGTAACCAACCCAAAAATCATAAGCTTAAATCACCGTGCTTACCTATCTCATAGGTGACTGGAAGGTTAGGATTGGTTGGAGTTCTTATCCCTTATCCGAAAGCTGTAACCCTAATATAGTAATCCTCTTCTTTTGTTCGTGATACCCCACACTAATTGTGCATAATGATTGTTACTATATGTGGTTATCAATAATTCCCTGAAAAGTGGATTCGTAGATAGGTGTTATTAATCCCCGCATCCTTTTCCCTTATCAATTCCATTTAATTCCCTTCTTATTTATGTTCACTAAGCGGGCACCGCAGGGTGCTGAACCTCCAAGCCGTCCAAAGTGATGTGCTCGGCGACTACGGTCACTTTGCCCAACTGGAGAATTGAAAACGGGGCCCCTTTGATGGTCAGTCGAACCATGAAAAATGATGGTTAAATGATGATTAGGATTCGGGAAATCACCCCCAAATAGACTTCTAAAACATCTATTTTGAGGTTAGTGAAATATTCTGATTCAGCCACAATTGGATGGTTTTTCATGGGGCAAGAATCTGGTTTTTATGGCGATATGATGGGGATAACCCAGAATCTGGGTTAAGGCTTGATGGGATGCTGCTACTAGGTAGCCCTTTTTTGACTGAGGGTATTTTACCAAGAGAAAGCTGGGGATTGAGCTTCGAAATCTGAGATAACTTGGAGGATATGGATACTTTGGATATCATAATGTTAAGAAACGAAGATTCATACTGTGGGGGGGGCTGGGGGTACCAATTTTATCAGCCAATTTTCGCAATTGTAATCATGGTTTATACAATTTGAATAATCATTTTGATAGGTTTTCCACCTGAAAATGTGTCAGCAGCATCTCGCTAGCTCAGCATGGCTGTGCCCCGAGAGAAGAGTCGTGTTGGCATGGCAGAAAAGGACTAGAGACAACACGAGTCTTCACTGATATACTGTATGAAGTTGTAAACTTTAAGCCCGCATCGTTTGAAAACCCACGCTGATATACTGTATGAAGTTTGAAACGATGTGGGCTTGAAGTATACTGATATATGTTTGAAGTATATCACTGATATACTGCAAAAGTTCACTGATATACTGATATGTGGGCTTTCATCGATATATGCTAGAGCCCACATCGTTTGAAACTTCATACAGTATATCAGTATATATGTTTCTGTTTATTGAACTATTTTAATTTGATTCCGATGGATTGGTATTCCCCAGCTATGTTTGAACACCGTTGACTTCCATCCGGAGTGAGGTACACACTTTCATGCCATTCAAGTCTGTCACTTCACGGGCAGCATGCAAACTCGCCCAATTGGTTGGCACTTCGATTCGCACTTCATTTGTTCAATCCCAACAAATACAACACATATGATATATATGAGATGGTATTGAGTCAAAGCCCTTTTCCAGTTATAACTTATAAATTAATAGGGTAATGAATAGGGTTATCATGCCATCAATGTTGTGACTTTCTAAGTTATGCTATTTCGGGCACTGTAAGATCCCCTCAATTTTGATTTCTGCCGCGGTGAGCGAGGCTATGGAGCCTTCGGCATTCCATACGGCAAGAAGATCGAGGCGTGGCAGCCACGGTCGGGCCATGGCCAAGATATGTTTGGTTGGGATTGGGAGATATTGGGACATTATCACCAAATAAGCTGAGGTTTCAGGTTGGTGAATTCTACAACTTATACACTTGCATTTGCTGAAGGCGTTTTGTTTTGAATTGTCAAATTTGGTTGGCTTTTTTTGTCCCCTTAGGCAAAGTCAAGGACTATATACTTTGGTGAGTCAAATTTCATAGTGGTTTCGGTGAAGATTGAGATCATCAGTGAAACCACCCACACCACCGCTTTGGAAACTCACCGGGATGGCCCAACTTCGGGATGATCCCTTGTCGACTTTGAATTAGACAAGGATCAGCATGGGTAAGCCCGGGTAAGCTTGGAAGAAACACAAAAACACATCACCTCCCACAGCTTCAAAAGTTACCATCTGGTTATTTAACATAGCCATGGAAAATAACCATTTTTACTAGGTAGACCATCTATAAATGGGCCATCTATACCATGGCTATGTTAGTCATAACCAGATGGTAAGACCTTTCGCGTCTCATGGTCCCCCCTGGTTTCCAAGTGGCAGCAGTGTGTTTCACCATGTTTCACCACCAGGATCCCGAGAAGAAAAAGAAGAGCTTGACTGCCGAGATCAACAACGGACGCCTGGCCATGATGGCCATCATTGGTGCCTCAGCTGACAACTTGGGGAAGTTGGATCACAGTGATGGATAGTCCTGGATAATTGTGGATAGGTCCAGGACACGGAGTTATGTTGTGGGATAGTGATATGGTGATATAAGTTCTTGGATATGAATAGCCAACCAACATCAACCAACCATGTTTGGGGTTTGTTTGAACTTGGGGCATACACCCCCCATTGTGTCCATCAAAGATGAGCAATGGATGATTAAGTTTGAGCTCGCTGTACACTACGTATATTGCCGTTTCAAGGACATGGAGCTCCGCAGAGAGCTCTGTGAATGTCTGGCTGCATGCATGCATGCTGCCTAAGCAGAAGAGCAATTGATTCTCTTGCTTGCGTTGCCCACGCACCAATTGCATTTTGGGTCATTTTATCAACGACTCGTGCGGTGGACTCCACGATGAAGATACTCAGGGCAAACCTCCGAGAAACAGTGTGATGTCGGCAAAACGTCAAAAGCTGGTTGCCGAACACAATTCCAATAGAACGCGTCAACATGTTTTGTTACCTCCCTTACATGCAGATGATGCTGTCAAATGCAGCCTGTGTGGCGCAGTGGATCGGGAAGGCTGAAGACGTTTTTCCAGATTTACGAAAATGACTTGCCCTATGGCATCTTGACAGTCATATATCATGCCATATGATCATATCCAGAGTCAAGGTTCTTCTTTGACAAACTTGTGGGCTCTTGTCAGGCCAGCCAATCCTGTCTGCTTTCTTGGACCGTTATCTTGTTGATCTTGTTTTCGTGTTTGGTTTGCTCCATGCAACCTTTCCCATGGCATGCGTTATGGCTAGGTCTTGGACACCGGCAATGTGTTATGGGATACTCATACTACATATAGTATTCATATAGTTGATTTATGATTAATTATATAATTTCCTTGATGGAAACAATCATATTTGGGGATTGTTTGAACATATGGGGCATGCCCAAAATTGTGTCCCTTTACAAAAGAACAATGATGATTAAGCAGTGAGTTTAAGATGCCAAAATTTCAGAGATATTATGCATTTGGAATCATTTGGATAGATCTACGAAAAGTTGCAAGCCACCTTGGCCTTTTGCACAGAGATGAAGATCCATTGTTTTTTTTCAGGAACATAAGAACTGAGCACCGCTATGTGGAATCCCATTTAAAATATCCGGTAGGTTTTGCCATGACAGTATGGTCACTAGAACATGTTTGGCCCATGTAACAAAGACGGAGATGATCCCGACTTTCATGTGCCAGGTATTCTGGGAGCAGTATCAGCCTCCGAAGGAGATCAAAATTGGGAACTGACACTTAAAACCCAGCATTTCCTCAACTTCGAGCACCATTGAGATACAATCAGAACAGTTTTCGTGTGGGTTCTGACAGCTTGGGAAATTGTGGCAAACATCAAGTATAAGTAATCAGCTTACTCGCACAAAGGTGACGCTTATGCAGGGAATGATTCAATTTATATAAGCAACTGAACCAACCTCCAGTAACTTTCTCCAGTCATCTGTCTTCATTCGTTTTACTGTTGGTGATCACCTCCAACCTTCAATTTGGGTGGTTCACTTTGGTTAACTAGATTTCTTTCATGCGTATTGATGTCTATTGAACCAGTATTATATGTTAATCACATTTAGTCACCAAGTCACCCAAGTTAAAATCTATTAAAACTAATGTTAACGCACTGGTTCAGTTTATTGTTATTAAACATTGTTAAACACCAATTAGCTGGTATGAAAACTTATCAATTCACAAGTCAGTCTGACCCAAACCATCAACCACCAGGGCATTGTTCATCTGCATCATCACTTTTTGCCCGAGGCATGTTCTACCAGGACGGCTTGACCGGTTCCGCCTGGGGTGACTGGGCCAACTACGCCGACTCGCCTTTGCGCGCGGCCGCGGATTTCTCCAAGGAGCAGATGGGAAGTTTGCGGAGGGGTTGCCATGGCGTAATACCCTGGTCAGAACGGAGCCTTAAAGGTGTCTGTGGGTTTCTTTCACTATTCAAAACTGCTGGATATATATATATATAATATTTTATATATATATATGGTGGAAAATTAATGACAATCAATATAATAGCTTGATGATGTTGTTGCATGGAGTTACAAACCAACTATTGGTTTTGGAACAACCTATAAGCGCGGAGGTCTCTTCCTGCAACAATCGGGGTTTAGCGAGCTCATAAACGCTCTGGTGGGTTTGCAGGGACAGCGCAGCGCCTCAACATTCCGCATCAACCTGACCTGCACCTGTTGAAATGTGTTTGATATGGGTAGATGCACCCTAAATTTAATCCTTATATAGTAAACGTTTGTTGAAATCGCCCTTGAATACAGTCAAAATCCGTCGAAGGTCTCCGGGTTCATCCGGACGTCGCTGTATAAAAAGTGACGCGCGCAGGAGCTTGGCGTGACTCCTCCCTTGGGTTTTTGGGACCCCTTGGGCTTCAGCAAGTTCGAGGACGCTGAGGCGCAGCCGAGTTCCCCAAAAGGTCTTGTCAATTCTTATACCAGGAGAGATTCTAGCCAATAGACTTAGAATGACTTAGGCATTTTGCATTTTTTTGATTAGGTGTGTTTAGTGTTTCCTTTTTTTGGCAGGAGATCAGCAAAGAAGCCCACATTTCTTTTGTGGTTACCAGAAAACACATCGTTACAATCTGCCTTGGATATGACCACTGCCGACACCCTTGGTATCGTCGCAAAGAACTCCAAGATGGTCCGTCGCCTGGCTATTCGATTCAAAGACGAAGGCAAACTGGCAGCCTTTGCAAAAACACATCACCTTCCAGACTCTTCAAAATGTGGCAGATGGCGCATTGACGGTTTGGCTCCCAGCATCGGAGCCGCTGGAATAGTTGGACTCTTGCAGTCCAAAGGTTGGCAGATCAATGAATTCTTATATTTTGGGATGCACCATTGTGTATACACTTCGGACAACTGTGGTCCTACGGATCCCATGCATTATCAATTTGATGGTCAAAGTGTACAAGTCATACGATTCAAAGCTGTCAGTGTGGCCGAATTCCCCAAAAGGTCTTGCCAATTCTTATACCAGGAGAGATTCTAGCCAATAGACTTAGAATGACTTAGGCATTTTGCATTTTTTTGATTAGGTGTGTTTAGTGTTTCCTTTTTTTGGCAGGAGATCAGCAAACCACTAAGTTGCCAATTACAGCAACCGTTACAATTTGTCAGCCTGAATTGATGGGTCTTGCAGTCAGCCTTCAGTTGGTGGTACAGTATTGCCACCTCCACATTTTATTTGTGCGAAAGGGTAACATCTCATCCATCATATAGTGTTTAACCACTCACCAGGATGGGTTCTGTTTGACTTCAGCAGTGTTTTGTTGAAGCTAATGCCCCATACGACGACCTGTGATATGGCTTTCACAAGCGACTGATTGGTTTCAGGAGTGGTTGCGGCGCGGGTGCCAGTAGCATTTAGCATTTAAATAGAGTTGGACAGAGAAAATACAAACAAGTGAAGCATTACAAACGAAGATGGAACTTGAGAACTGCTCTTCGATCCATGTTGCTCCCTGCAGTTTTATCACTTTGCCTCAAATGCCCCCTGTCTTTTGCAGTGGCTTGGCGCAGCCAATTGCACAGCAAATGCATTGCCTCCACGGAAATGGTCCCCACCAACAACTCGATGGATCCGGTGGAGTCTGTCTTTGCCGGCCCACATGACGTCATGTGATACGTCGTGGTGGTCACTCCACCAACCCCACGGCCATCATAACCAGTGAAGATCCTGACGTGCTCGGCCTACAGGGCGTGCAGTATCTTCTGTGGAAAGCCGAACTCCAATGCACATTGGGGAAACCCACAGAGATCCCTGAGGTGGACTTAGAAGATTCCACACTGCATCTGAACGTTAATGGATTGGAAACCTGGTTCCCAATTGGCCACTCAGCTGCAGCTGGGAGTATTCAAGAATCTGATCATACCTGTATCATCTTCCTCTTGTTGTTTTTCTGAGCTGTTTTGGAACAAACATGTTTTTGGAGTCATACGGCAGGAAAAACTGCATTCGAGCATTCTTCCCATTCTTAGAACTTAGAGACAAAAACTGCAAAAACAAAAAGGCGCTAAAACGGCGCAAATTTCTGGCAGAAAACTGGAGACAATAGAAACGTGTTTTTGTTCGCGCAACGACTTTTTTTCACTCTAGGGATTGGATATAATTAACTTGATTTTGGTGACAGACGTTAGCAGCTCTAGTGGGGCAAAAGTGTAGACATGTTCGCGCAAAACCCTAACTTCAACCACCTCCAAATAATACACCCAGACACTACTATATATCTATTCATATATGTACATGATTGTACATGTTTATATTTGTCACCGGATGATGCGTGAAAACACTGGCTCTACGAAACAGTTTTGACTTTAGGCTTTCAAATTTAGCTTTTCAGGGTTTTGGGATTATATAGGCGGACGTTTTTGTGGTTTTAGGGCTTGAGGATGTCAAAGGATATGTGGGATCCGTGGTGATCAAACATAGGGACCACCAAGGGGTGATAGCCAGATATGGATTTCTCCGAAGGGGGATACTGAATAACCATTTTATACCATTTGAATAGGGCTGAATAGGGGAGCATTATGATAAACACATCATTTTCAGGTACAAACCCATATTTGGTTCATTCCACTACCACACGATTGTCTTACTCTCAGCCTTTCATGAGTTGCCTTTGAACTCCTTCAATCACAGTACAATCGCACATGCGTTTTTCCAAGACGGCTGGCCAATGGTTGGTCGATCAACTGATTTTCCTGATTTCCTCACTTAACTGGGCAAACCATTGTATTAGCTAGTTTCCCAGTAAGATGTTATGGTTTCCCAGTAGAATCCAGTAGAATAATATCAATATTTATCCGAGTACAACCACAACATGATTGGTTTTACAATAATGATTGGTTAATTACAGTACTTTAATATACTTGATGTTAGTAGGTAAACAAACCCAATTTTACAGCAAATGGCAAATTGATGGAACAAGGTATAAACCTTCAAAATATGTTTGGTTAATTATTGCGGGTACTTTATTGGACATGGTTTGTTCGTATTGAAAAACTATAACTGGAACACATTTTCCTAACTTGGTAGCATGGACATATTATTGTTGTATATTGTTGTCATATGTGGACATCAATGGAAATGCTACGAACCAACGAAACATGGGTCTTTCCATATTGTTTCCTGGCATTTGCAGTGACATTAGGGGATGAGACGGAGACGAGTCGACACGTCTAGCCTTGTCGCCAGTTGGCCAAGTTGCAGTTCAAGCGCCGTCGCATTGTGGAGATTCAGCACGGACGTGTGCCCTGGCGGATGGTTGGGGTCGCAAGGATCAAAGCACCCCAAAACCCCAAACTGGGTAGCACATCCCAACTCAAGGTGGGAAGTCATGAGTTCATGTTGATGAAACATGTCGATATGTCATCCTGGCCAGCACAAAAAGTAATTTAAACGCTTGTAAATGGAATACAGACCTCTCCTATGCTGTCAACGAAGGGACTTTCAGGATCCATGGATTCAGGTCATGGTAGGTGGTACTTCATGCGCCCAGGGTCAGTTGCCCGGATGGTTGCGCCAAGGACGTTACGCAGGTGGCTCTACAGAAATCAAAATATGTGTGCACGAAGTATGTGTGACATATATATATATTGTTTGATTAGATTATATATGATTATCAATATTATATATGAATAATATGAATATATATGACTATATATGTTTATCGTATTTAAGTGGTAATATTGTAGATTTGTAATTCATATGTCAATATATGCAAGTGTACATTGATTTAGATCGTATATCTTCTGTTGCTACAACTGGATCATGTTGTTTCTTTTTGTGCATATGAAGCGCGCCGAAAAACATTGGACTAGTCTTGGCAAGGACAATTCTAAACCTAAAAGACATGTGTGTAGAAATATATGTACACCTATAAGAATCTTAATTATGTTTGACAATAAACATTGACAATGTTTCATACATTTATTGAGGTACTTGACAATATCATAAACATGAAATACAGGGAATATATCATGACATAGACATATAATCGCATGCATTATCATGATATTGTAAGGACCTTGATGCTCTACCCTGTACGTCTTTTCAGGTTGCTATGTTGGCCTGCATTGGTTACATCGTCCCTGAGTACTTTCGATGGCCAGGCGCGTTTGTGCAAGGTTCAACGGACTTCAACGTGAGCCATGAAAGTTATACCCTGGTTGATTGGTCATTGTAAGGATTTTCCAGGGTCTTAACCATAAAAGATGGACATGTGTTATAATATAACTGATAAAAAAGAATGGGTGGTTGGTGAATATAGGGAGTTCTACTAATTGGTTTATTAGGGATAGTGGAAAGCCCAAAGTAAGGAAACTTATATGGGATAGATGTGGTTTTCATGGTATTAATGATTTATGATTATGCAGATACGATACAAAAACATATATATCATTGTTTCAATGGGATATCATTCCCTAATACAACAATCTTTGGGATATTTTTGGGATTCAGGGTATATATGTCAAAACGAGAACGCACATAGAATCATTTGTTTGTCAGGAGGGATCTGGGTATCAGACACCCTGTCTTTATGTCATTCAGAACATTGTTTGTCTGATTTTTTTGTTGACATTGTAGACATTTGGCCTGAATACTTGAGTTGCTGAGGAGATGCCAAAGACATGCGGCTGTGATTTGCTTTGATCCATACCCGTATGAGTGGTGGTGAAAAGGGTGCTAAACCATGGTTCATTATCATTCATTAGGGTCTTACTTTATTGTGTCATAGGGAACGTGAGGAATCAATGTTGGGAATCCCAATCAAAGCTATCCAGTCGAAAAGTGTCTTTAGAGCGAACATTCGTATATATATATAATATATATAATTAACAATACACATAGGCAGTGGAAGATTTGAGTCCTCAACGTCGGTCGCCCAATCATGGGATGGTCAGCTGTTGTGTTCAATGGTAGATGTATCTATTAATCCAACAAACACAACCACGGGGGCACCCCCATAATTACCAATGGTAGGCGTTTCCTGGCAGGTTCAAATTTCACAACTCATTGGAGTGTGACTGTTGTAGGCCCATGGAAGGCTCCTGGGTACTTCTATATTGACCTACGAAACGGTCCATTTCTGGATTTCTAGGGTAAATGTTAGTATCTTTTCAGAGACCATCGAGCAGCTTTAGGGTATGCATCATACCTAGTGACATTAATAATATATTTGTTCAACAACCAGGAAAGAGTGCATGCCCGGTATAGTATTGATATGGACCTTGTGTGTAGTCTTCTGTTTGGCCAATGATGGACTCAACTCGATATCGAGTATGATATTTGTCGATTTGCATTGTTTTTTTCTCAACATTAATATCATTGTTCAATCATCAGCTCATGTTGTTTGGTCTTAACAATTTGGTTGATCCAATAAAGCAAAAAAATGCCTTTATCACGTTCCCATTGACATGGCCATGAATTAGGTTTAATGTTCGCTTTTTGAGACACACCCATATCCTGGTTGATCCATTTCAGCAATCTAAATTTGTATCAATATCATCTCAGCAAATAGTGTTTATCACAAGTCCATACAAACGTGTATGTAGTTTCATATATACACATTTTTATATATATTCTGCACAATTATATACACTATCTAATCAAACATACATGTTACCATCATATTTGTATATGTGGGATGATATCCCACAATATGATCCCTGTTTTCCCAACTCAGTCCCATCTTCTTTCAGGCCTGTGCTCGCCTTCCATGAACTTGGCCTTCGCTGACATCCCCAATGGCCTCAAGGGTGCAGCCATGGTGCCATTGGCAGGCCATGTGGTGGGGGGAGTTGAACCATGGGATTTCCTGGGTCAACCCCCCTTTTTTGCCACAGATGTTAATTTCAGATGTTAATTTCATGAAGCATGGTTGGTTCTGAAATTGTTCCAACTTGAAATGTGTTTTCTTTGTTGCATGATTTGGGCCCCTCTCTGACCATTTGTTCCTTGGTTTCACCACAAAAGTAGCTGGGATGTGCGCCACACACACATACACACACACACTGATGGGAATATCGCGCGTCTTGACTCTGAGGGTCATGTCTTCACTGGGACGTGTAGCTTCTCCGAAGTTAAAACATGTACCATATGTGTTGCGAGAAATTATGTTCTTGGGACAGACATGGGCAGACTATCCAAAGAATCATTGGCACTGTCGATTCTAGATTCGGATATCCACATGCTTATTGGTAGCATCTTGTCTTTTTTTGCACATAGTCAATGCATCTTTTCTGTTTTTCTGGAGTAGTGAGTAGTCCTTACAAATCCCATTTGTGTGTATCTGAAAGATGGCTACTATATCATATCCAAGAAGCATTTTATAATTGACAGGATAAATATGCGGTTTGGAAAAATCACTGGATCTTGTTATGTTTTCCAGGCAGCCATGGCAGTAGAACATCTTCATTTACCACCTGGTTATTTAACATAGCCATGGAAAATCCCTTATAAATGGAGGTTGTAATAGGAAAATCATCTACAAATGGGCTATTTTCCATGGCTATGTTAAATAACCAGAGGGTACAGATGATTTTCCAAGGTCCATGAAAACTGAGGGGGATGTTTTTATCCACATGGCAATTTTTTCAAATCGACCAGTGAGGATTCCCCAGCAAGACCATGTTTGATGAATCCAGGATGGCTTCAGATCATCACCTTCGTATCGTCCTCAGGGTATCCCAGGGCGGATTGAAAAACCACCCAAAGAGATCTGGATTTCTGTGGGATTTGCGATGCAATCGTAGGTAAGTTGGTTTATTATATATATGAATTATTATATAATATAGTTGCCATAGAGTTGCTGCATATAGGTTTACAAACCAAGTCACAACAGATGGGGGTCTTCCTCTAGGACCCATTGGTTCTGGCCGGTTGCCGATATTGTTTGGACTCAACAGCTGGGAGTTTGAGGCTTTTCTCCCAACATCGACTGGTGGTAGCTAAAAGCATGGATACGTTTTCACCCAATTATTATATGAATAGTTAAATTCTGGATATCTCTGGTCATACCTGCTCACTTGAAACAAGAGATCTGGTCGCTTTCCCTTCTGCGCTATCGAGGTTGGCATCATTGAGTGGCTTGGCCTGGGAGGAAATCCCGCTAGCCATGGAGCTTTGTGTGGGAAAACCAGAGAAGTAACTGAGGGATTTTCCAGCAAGTCATGTCTACCAGTCTACCAGAGGGTATGTCATTTTGAGGAGGTTTTCTCTACAGTATACTGGTTTGGTTTGCTTCACTTTTAGACTAAAAGAGTGATTGGAAGCCCACTCTGAGGGAGGCAGGACATGTCTTCATTACTGGAAGCAGAAAGCGAACTTTCCACATTTTTGGGTCAGTAGATGGTTATCCCATCCTATCCCCATCGGTTGTGGTTGGTTCGGAATAATCCGCATTTTTGTTGAGTGAATCACCAGAACAAACATATCCAGATCCATCAAACATAGGTGCGAAGTGGGGTAGGTCATCACCATTTTCACCATTTTTCATCCGAGTGTTGAGTACTACCCCCCGGTAGTCAAACATGGCAATGGACAATTCTCCATTTGTTATAGATCATGTTCCCATTCAAACAAAAACACATCATTTATAGAGGATGTTCTTGGATTTTCAATTGCCATGTTTGATTACTTGAGGGCAAATCCGACTAAACCCCCTATAAATCCCTATATTTTTTGTCTCATATTTGATCATGATATCCCATCATATTCCCATTGTGGTGGTTTCATAGCCCCATTTCGTGGAGAAAAAATCACCCAGCTTTCTGAGGGTGCTGAATCTCCAGAAGGTTCAGGAAGGCGATGTGCTGGGCGATTATGGTCCCTTGGTTTTCAAACCGGTTGGTGGTTTCAAAACAGCTTCAACCAAAGGTTAGCAGTTGATAGCATCGGGGCAACATCAACTGAGATGTTTAATGGTTTTAATGATTTAATTGGATATGATATAGAATATGATATGATAGGATAGGATATGATCTGACGTGATCTGATCTGATCTGATATGATATGATATAATACGATATGATATGATACAACACGATATGATATGAAATGATGTGTGATGTTTGATGTAGAAATGTTGATCCATGTTGTGTTATGATATGATTTGTAATGATATGAATGATATGAATGATAGGATGAGAAATGATCTCAATTATATAATATCAATGTGAAATAGTAAATTCATATTAGTTGGATACTACCAACAGGATTTTGCAACGGGTCTGTACAACATAGGGTATTCATCGTATAACCGAACTTTTTTTTTGCCGTTTGAACGTTTGACATGGGGGTATAACATGATAACAATGAGATTTGGGGTATCCCGAGAGATGGGATGACAATCTGCAAGGACAATAGTTTTTTAAGATGTTTCTCCTGGGCCAAGCAGTCAGCTCTGGGCTGCTGGATGGGTGGTTTCGGCCAGGATGGTCGACTACTCTGGGGGTTCTCTAAGTCTTCCAGATATGGATATTTGCGGTACAACACTCCCGTTTACAGATAAAGATATGTCGTCATATGACTTGAAACACACGTGTTTACAATTTGGCATTTTTGTATGTCCGCCCCCTACCACTGGGTTCGTTTTTTCCTGTCAGGATCTATTAGGTTCCCGGAAAGGGAGACCGAGCTGACTGCTTGACTTGTTGAAAAGCTCGTCAACTCCCTGGTTTCCGACTGATATGTGTCCCTGTAGCACGACAAAAGTTGCGTCTCCGTTTTTGGATGTTTTTGGAATCTTTGACCCGTGGCTGTTCCAACTCATTTCTACTTAACCCCCCGGTGGGCAGAGATAGGTTCATCCCCTGATTTGGCTTCAGGTTACGGTGCCTTCGGCCTCCCTTTCGGCAAGAAGATCGAGGCCCAGAAGCCCAGAAGTTCAGTCACTGATCAGTTGGATCAGTTAGATCTTTTAGATCAACCGTTTTTTGGCATTTTGATAGATTCATGCAGAAAAAAAAATATGGTACTACTGCCAGGTTAGGTTGGTTGACTAGGGGGTAAGCATCCAGAAACGAAACATGTGAACTCGCGTTGACAGACCCCTTTCAGCCTACTTCCGTGTTCCATTTGATTCCCAGCATATTCAATGCTAGAGTCCATCATCAAGAGGCTGATACCAGGCCTTTCTCAGCAGGCCCAACACACGGAGTACCCATCCTGGTTATGTTTGTTCGAACAAAATACATTAACTGATCATTAACTTTAGTATGTTATATCACAAACAAAACCAAATGATCCAAATGTAAAGCATTAACCAAGCTATTTAAGCGTCAACTCGTTGTGATTTCGCCCACCTTGCAGGATGGTCAGTGTGGGTCTCTTTGGTCCATTGGGCTATTGAAACCTCCAGTCATGGCCATTCAATGTTGAACATGATAACCAATTACCCTCTGGTAAACTATACAAAAAGCTATTGAAAATGGCCATTGATTCACCCATTGAAAATGGTGGATCTTTCCATAGTTCTGTAAACGTTTACCAGAGGGTATTGGAATTGATATGCCCCATTTTCAGACGACATTTCATTGGGTTCCACTATGGGTACCCCCCTACCATTCGTCAACAGAGATGGCTGGGAAAACCACATCAAGTACCACGAATGCCCCGTTTTTTAATGCTCTGCACTCTACACCTCCAGAATTGTTGGATCTATATTTTGTCTTGACTTTTGCTTGGTTAGCTTTCAGTGATAGCAATAACGATAACAATAATAAATATAATACATATATATATATATATACATAGTCATTTAATAATATACTAATAACACTCATAATCATATATCATTTTTTTGAGCCCCCCCCCCTGTCAATTGCTTCTGTACCTGCAAGTAGAAGGACAAAAACTGCATAATGATAATTTCCTTTACAATACATAACGTAAAGAGCTAAAGAGACATGTGTATACAGTATATACATAATTATACTATGGATATAAATAATAACGATATTATATACTGTACATGAATATATGTCTATAAACTATAGTTACATATACAGAAACGTATCAAGGAATGCAAGCCACCAATGCATGAGCTGGTCAGAGCTGTCCAGCTCCAACAGCGCGGCTAGCCTCTGGCCGTTCGCGAGGACAAGGAGAAGAAACTCAAGAGCCTCACTACTGAGATCAACAACGGACGTTTGGCCATGATGGCCATCATTGGTGCCTCAGCTTGGGGCTGGATACGGTGGGATAATGTTGCATAGAGTTTTCAGTAGCAACTGGCTTAACTGTGTTGTTCGTTTGCCACTTTGGCCTGTTGCACAGATATTGTGGAAACAAATGAAGATCCATTGGTATTGCGGGAACATGAGGACATGCCCATGCGTAGACCCTCCAAGTACCTAGAAAGATAGGGGTAATATACCCATTATTTTGGTACTTTTACTTACTGTATGTTTGTTTGGGTACTTAGAGGGTCTAAATACAATGGTATGACTTGTCAGCAATTTGGTTGACCAACATTTGCATTGGAAACGGAGCATCGTGACCTGCAGTGGAAATTTATGTTGCTGGGGACAGGCTCAGTACACAACCTATCACTAACCGTAACCTTAGTCCTTCACCTTTACCACTTACATAGGTTAAAGATATGAATGCAGATAAAGCCATAACCTTAGTCCTTTACCTTGATTAAATGGAAGCCTGGCGGTTCCCCTTCTTCTCCAGCTGCAAGCTGATGAGATAGATGTTTCAGACAAAAAACGGGTTAGCTGAAGGCGATTGGTTTCCACTCCACATTGCTCTTGCCTCTATGCATTTGTGGACGTTCTTTGATGTTTGACGCCCTCATCGGGCTAGAGACTCACTTTAGGGTAGCAAGGTCTTGACCTTGACCCATACCCATAATATCCCATAATCATAGCAGATCATTCAACACTCTAAACTCAACATTCCCCTCAACTCATGGACCCTGAGAACCGCCCATCACCCTCAACTCAAGGCAGGAAAAAGCTGGCAGGGTCAGATGGAGTGCAGCTTACCCGTTTAAATTCATTGGCCAACCATTCGCTGGCCCACAAACATTTTCATGATCCACACGACAAATCCCTTTCCGACCTAAGATTGGTTGGGTATTGTTTTTCCTCCTAGACGTTTCCTGGCTCAATCCCCTATGCTTATTGTTATTGTTATTGTGGACACCTCAGCTGCACAGCGGGGTGTTACACACCAACACTCGGACAGTGAGCGCATCATGTGCACGATACCCCAAGGGAGAGCCTTACGGGTCGTTACAACATGATTAATAGGTATACTATAATATATATATATATATGTGATTCAATAGATAAACCAACACAAACACAAACCCATTATATCCCATTATATCATAATATATATATATATACATATATATATGTATGATTCCCATCGATAACCTCTAACTCTAACTCTAACCCACAAATCCCAATGCGCATAAAATTGTTGGTTTCATCATTATAAAATCCCACTTCCTGGTTCAATCACCATAAAGTACTTCAAACATCTACATCAATAGCCCATTTACTCACAATATATCCGTCCCATTTATGATCTACGTACTAAGGGAAGTCCTATAGATCATCCCTAAAATCACCATGTACCTTTTTTTATGATTTTTATGATATGGTATGTTTACCATTGTTTACCATCCTCAAATATCCTCTTTTATGGTAGCTTTATAGCATAGGGATGGGGGTCATTAATGTCACCTATCGAAGCACCAAGGCATGTTCTACCAGGACGGCTTGACCGGCAGCGCCTGGGGCGACTGGGCCAACTACGCCGACTCGCCTCTACGAGCCTTTGAGGCGCATCCGTAGCAGCTGGGCGGAGGACCTGAAGTGCCAAGTTGGCGTATAGTCTGTAGATATAGATATACGTGTATATACCTGACCTTTTAAATTATAATGTATATACATATATAATCATATATACACGTATTGATATATCTATATTATAGATCAATGTATGTAGAATCAGAACCAAAATCATCATCATCATCATCATCATCATCATCATCATCATCATCATCATCATATATATATATATATATGAACATAGTTTAATTAAACTACATAATACATGCTACAGACAAAATATGCAAACTTTAATTCGTTCTGCTCGTACAAATTAATGGTGGACATGTTGTTTCTGACGGATATGCACAAAAGTGGTGAACTCCGGCAAGCTCCGTGTCTTCACTTGGGGGCCGAACAGACTGGCTTTATCAGGAAAACATATAGTATATAATAATGTGGATAAAACAATGTCATAACCTATAAAAAATAGTGATTTGGGGGATGGTTTATTATTGTATTACCCACATTAATACACATACACTGTGTTTGTTATCACATGGACTAGCAATACAATGTTCGTTGTTTTGTAGTAACAGGGTACAGTCACCAATCTGGTTGAAGTGCTTTGGTGCCAACCATATCCACATATTAACAGAACATAGGATCCCCAAAGACGAATTGTCACACTTCTCGCGTGGTGAACATCATGCGGACGGTCAAATAGTGGGATGTTCGATCAACAAGAATCAACAGAAACCTTGGATGGGTTGGAACATCCATCTAGAAAGGTCTACTCAGACATGTGTTGGTTTCATCACTATATTTCTGCCCATGGAAAGCAGTGAGAAATGCATTGTGTATTGAAAAACATTGAGAGCACTATGCCTGGAGCATTGAAAGCAATTTGCACACATGCATGGGTCCTGCCTGCAGGCAAGGCACAAACAAACACAACAGAAACACCAAAATGTGGTGTGCATATGGAAAACAACCAATAAACATGCAGCCGCCAAAAATAGGTGTGGAAGATGTTTTGAAATATATTGCTATATTTAAACAAATAAGGTATCCACAGTTGGAACTTGGTGTTTTGCTCTCAATATCTTGCTCTCCAGGAGGAGCTGGGTGTCCAGGCTCCGGTGGGTTTCTGGGTGTCTTGGATCACATTGGATTTGGTTTTCCAGTGTCAATGTTTGTTTCAAAGGGGTCCATGGTGGTCCAAAAAACACTGGGGATCCCAAAACTGGCTCGTGGTTTCACTGGTTTTCCTCAAAAAATTGGTTTATAAACCATATAAACACTGGTTTCAAAACATAAACCAATAAACATGGTGGGGATCCCATTTATGATTATTTCCACCAAATGGTGATCCACAGGGTGTTTTTTTAGGTGGCTCAACCACCAGGAAAGGCCAAAAGGGAAATTCTGACTCAGGACCCAGTGGGCTACACTCGTGATGGTCTCATGGCCAAATGGTCGGCATGGGTGGCAATGTGTGGCAACATCGTTCACCCATGAAAGCGTTGAAACAGTAACCTCAAAATTTAGAGTCATCCCCAAAAGGATAGTCACTATTCTATAGAGAAGTAAACTCCTAGTAAAATCTGTAATTGAATAGTGACCTAGACCCAAGTACCTAGAGAAACATGACAATATACTAGACTGTCACCCATTTTTTAAAGGTTACAAACGGAGGGTCTACGGATAAGTTACTTTGCTATCGACAACTTTCAGTGCACGGCCACGGATTCAGTCAAGTTTCGGGGGTAAAATGAAGTTTACTCTCTGGTAATTTAACATTAGCTATTGAAAGCCACCATGTTTAATAGGTTAATCCTTGAACTAAACGGGCCATGTCTTCCATAGCTATGTTAAATTACCAGAGTATGTGGGTATGTTCGGGTTGTGTCTCGATGTGGGTGTGTTTCTGCTGCCATTCTTTCTTGGTCAAGCCCAATTTCTCATCATTTTTGTTGGTCAAACGCCATTTCTTCTCATGTTTGTTGCTAACCCGATTACACCCACTTCTCATATTGTTTTTTGATGCATGATATCTGTTCTATCACATATATATATATATATATTATATATATACGTATATTATAAATATATATATATACATACACATTATACATACATATTTATATACATATATACATTGTATATACATATGTTTTGTATGTTCAAAAAAAAGGCGTTGTTTTTTTCAATGGTTTCTTACCCCCCCAAGGCGACATTACCACCTTCAAGCGCCGCCGGGAGACGGAAATCAAGCACGGCCGGGTGGCGATGTATGCCACCATGGGTTGCTCCACTGGGTCTGGCAGTTTGGGTTGGCCTTCACAAGATCGAAATGGGATTAATATTTTAATGGGATAATAATTAATCCACTGATGTTCTAATGGGATATATTAATTAGAGTCATTATGATTCTGCCAATGTTATGCCCATTTCTTTCCTTTTACGTTACTGTTTTGATCCTTTTGTCACTTGCAGTTGGGATTGAGCCATGAGGACACCGGAGGGTCAAGATTCAACATCCAATCCACATAGACTGCTCCATGTTCCTGCTAGAAAGGGCCTCTCCTTTCACCTTTCTAGATTATTGAGTACAAATCGGGATGGTGTCTCATTTTCTAGTTTCATTTGTCTACAGTCTGGTTACCGTTTCTTAGGCAAATTGTTGTTTGTTGTTATTTGGCAGTGTGTCAAAACCTTGTACCCCTGGTGAACCCCAAAATAGCTGGTAAATGGATGTTCATCCCACTAAAAATGGTATTAATAGGTATTGATCCATAGCCATTTGATGTTATTTGGCAGTATTCACCACTGTGCCGCGGGCATTTGCAGATTTTGCAGAGCCTCCTTGATTCGAACGGAAGTTGGCCTATGTTGCGCCTAATGGGCATCGGGCATGGCAAAGCAACCAGACGTTTGTGTTGTTCATAAACCGCCGCCCACAAGGATTCCCAAGAAAGGTTGGATGATGTTGGATGACCATTCCAAAATATCTCCGGTATTTTTCTTGAAGCATGGGTTGCCTTGCAATCTGAGGTTACATTGTTCCTGAGTACTTCAAATGGCCAGGTTCGATGTGGGGTTTCGGAGGAGAGTTTTCAGCGAGAAGTACTCGAATGATCCCTGAAGCTAGTAAATGGACAGAAAGTTGTTTGGTATCATATTTATAAATATTGTATACATATACTCCTTTTTATGTATATTCACATATTTATATATATATAGTATATACCACATGCATGAGATTACAGCCCACTTGCTAATTTCAATAGGAGGTCAGGCCAGTCCATCTGTTTGTGGTTTCCAGCCACCAAAAATCGGTTTCGCTGGAGATGGAGCAGTCATCTGGAAGCGATCAACCGTTGCCCATTGCAACGAACTGAGGGCCATCCCATCATCAACCCTGTCCATCAAATCTTTTGGCACCCTGGTTGCTTCCAAAACTTTAGGCGCCTCGACTAGACACTTGTTTGATGATTTCTGGGGAGTTGAGGTAAGTGAAGAGGAATTGTGAGGTTCAATGAAAAGAAGGTGAACATTACATAAACCATACTTATCATAGCAATAGCCGTTGCTTATGACACTGTAAGGTATTGCTAGTTTAAAACATGCTTGTGTAGTGGAATTGGAAGCTTTGAATGCTGCATTTTCCTTGTTAGACAAGCGGACAAAACAGAAAGGGATTTACTGGGAATGATATGTTTGGGCATGTTTAAAAACATCAGTCAGTAGTTTGTCTCTTTCTGAGACAGGAAGCCTCAAATTCATCCGTTTTATGAACTGATGATTGTTTTGGGCCGCTCCTGGCCTTCACTTGTGACAGAGGCTACGGATGACAGACATCCTGTGCGAAAGTTGCAGTTGTACATGTCAACAGCGAATTCACTACATTTTGATACATTTTGTGCAATCAAGATCAACAGACATTAGGTGCCAACAATTTATATCAGCAGCGTGTCATCAGCCCACCGCTGCGGCAGGATACCTCTCCCCATCCATGGGATTGAAATTCTCAGACGTGCCAAATGGTTTGGCCGCCATCAGCAAGGTGCAACAAGCGACATTTGAGGAATCAGATCATGGGATGATGGGATAGTAATGGGATAGCATAATGTTTAATATCCCATCGTTATCCCATATTATGTCTGTAGTAATTGGCATTTCATGGCAAAGTTCCACCAACCCCTGTTGGTGGATTTATTGGATCAATACCTATCAAAGCCTATCATATTATAGTGAGAAATCAGCCTATCTATGATATTTATGATATTATGATTATATAATATTATATACATAAATAAGTATATTATTATGATGTTGGTGGAATTTATTCAATTTCCAATTAGAGCATGTACTGTACATAAATCAACACCCCTGTTGGTTGATGATTGTAGATTAGTTGGGATTTACTTGGGATTTAGCTATGGGATTTATGGGATTGAAGCATCAAACATTAATGGGGATGATACATTAGTTATGTTGGGGGATTGATGGGACACCCTACTACCCAACCAATATAGTCGAATGAGATAAGATAACGGCGGTTAAACCTTGCGTTCACCAACCATGGTACGGGAGATATATAGATTTTTTTTAAAATAAGGGGTATGATACGAGTGGGATATATGATGTTATATAATCCGAATCTTGGAGGATGATATAGTCTAGGAAAACCAAGTGGATTGATATTGATACTTGTGTTCTTTAGTCTTTTGCAGTAAGTTGAGATTATTATATACTGAGATGGTTAAATCAAATCACACATGCAGGGTACGCAAGATTGGGAATGATAAGATGCGGGCAGGCAATTTACCTGCATTTCGGAACATGGGCTACAGCTACATCCACTCTTTACAGTAAGTCAGGCGAACTGGTTGAAAACGCACCAGTCTTTACCAGCCTTGACCTGGAATTTTGGGGTGGTCAACTCAGCCCGTGTTCTGAATTAACACTTCCTCTCCTCCCAGCTATTGTTTCATTGGTTGCTTCAGGGCATTGGTTTTCTGGTATCCAAGGGATTTGTATCCAAGATGGGTGAACAATTGATATGATAATGGTCTTAGGGCGCACGTCATCCTTGTGACATGGCAGTGTTATTTTCCAAAGTAAAGGCCTGAACACCCGAGCCGTGTCAAGGGAATTGCATAATCATGGCGGCAACTACTCTATTTGCGGCTGTGATTTCTAAAAATTGTTCATGGTCCATCAAAAGCCTGAGTATACACCTGCTCCCTTAATCATGGGTATCTGAGACCATATCCATTCCGGAGATCCTTCTTAGAAACAATTGTCAATTGAGTTGAACAATCATGGATCATACTATAGAAATATAGAAATGAGATGTGTCATGTTTGCATACCCTTGGGCCCAGGCACGAAATTATGTATATACTATAACATTATCTATATTATTATATACATATACATATTGAGTATGTTCACATATGTTGAAACAACAGTCAACTAAAAGTATCCAGGCCCAGGTATTGTATTTTACTCAGGACATGAGTTACTTCAATCTTGATACTATGATACTTGGTGCAAGAAGACCCCCCCCGGTTATGTAAGTCGGTGTATCTTAACCCATCAATTTATATATATATATACACATATATCCAGCACAATTCCTATACAGTTTGCTTCTGCAACAAACCAATCGACTAAAACCTATCGTTTTGGGTGGCCCTTCCTGTATTTTGACCATAGCAAAGCACCATGATGCATTTGGAACCATGCAAAAAAGGACCTATCATGACCAATTCAAACACTTTTACGTAATTTGTTTTCAATTATTACCATGTTGAAGTGTGTGGCGCGCAAATTTCATGAATCTTGGACAGCAAAGCCGCGGGAAGTTGGAAGGTCACAGGAGCTCATGGTTCGATTGGACTCCACGGACGTTCGGCGTTCTTGATTGAGCAGCAGTGGAAAGTGAGTAATGTCAACCCCGGATGAATAAACCATGGTTTAAAGAAATTAGTGAGTACTCCTCCAATAGTCATTTCATCCAATACTTAAATGGTCCCCCCCAATTAAGCAGCCTAAGGCCTAAGGGTTTATTGATCCAGGGTTGACAGACATGATCTCCATGGCAGATCAGTTGGTGGCATCTCCAGACTACACCAATCGCCAAGGAATGCTGGCACTCCTCGGCCGAATGGGAGTTACGAATGAAATGTGGGTAGCCACCAATGGTTCAACTAGTTCTTTCATTGATAACAAGAATCACCCAAAGAGCCAAAGACCTACGGAAATGCGATAAGTCAAGCAGGTGTCAGCAACATTGAATGCCCAATTTATATCTGACTGAATTATAAGCCTGTATAAAGTGTGTGCTGTGATTCATTATCTGTGCCATGGTCAAAAGGTCGAAAGTAGGAAACATACACGCCATGGTAAAGGGTACCACCATGAATAGGGATGTGTTGGTACCTTTTTTTTGTGTTCACTTTGGGATGGATGAGCTCACCCCATCAATTCCGAAGTTGACCATGATACATACACTATTCTATTTCTATCCCAGCATGATATAAATCCCAATTATTTTTCCCAGACGTATACCATTACTGTCCATGTCATTGTGCAATATCGAACACAATTACATGTTTTACGATCCCGGTTGCCCTCGTAAACGAACAGTTTGATGAGGAAAACTCCACCATTTGCAGATCATCTTCCAACTGGCTTTCCCGACTGGTCTTCCACATCTCTGTTAGTTTACCCCAATTACATATATTCCATTGTTACATAGATGAAGAGAAGATGTGGATGATTTCGATATCAAATATTTACATATATTTACCCCAAAATCATATCAGGATGTTGTTTTAGATCAGTTCTTCCCAGATGATAGCCAGTATTTACCCATAGATATAATAATAGCCGTTATACCTCACAATTATATCAGGATGAAAAGATACATAACTATATCAATGATTACATAGCTATTATAATATGTTTATATAAAACTATATACAACTATATAAAACTAATGATTCTTATACCAGAATATATCAAAAGCCATATCAATGTTTTTATGTAATAACATCCCAGTTTTCCTCATGAATTGTCATCAGGTGCCAGGCAACGGCTGGGCGCAGATCGTTGCCTTTGCGGGCTACTACGAGCTCTTCGTCTACAAGTACAACGGTACCCCAGGTGCCGGTGATGCGAAGGGGCAAACATGGAAGCATTGGTTACGGTATCTGTGTGGTTTCCATAGCCATGGAAATAGTATCCATTAGTTGGATGGTTTACCTCATTGAAAATCCTATTGACCCATGGATGATGTTTTTGGGGTACCTGGATTGGACACCTCCATATGGTTGGTATATGTTGGATTGTTGGTTTGTATAAAAATGGCGGTTTAGTCGGGTCTATGTCATTCCAAGATTTGTTCATCCATCGAGATCTGGTGATGAAGTATTGACCCATCCCCTGATGCTGATGATGAAGATGATGACTGGTTGGTGGTTTCAAACATTTTTTCCCCACCCCTCCGCCTCCTCCTCCATCTCCTCCTCGTCCTCCTCCTCGCAGTCCAGATCCCAGTGGGCACTGCCGGACTTCAACCTGCGACCTCCAGATCCAGATCCCAGTGGGCACTGCCGGACCTCAACCGCGACTTCCAGATCGCAGTGGGCACTGCCGGACCTCAACCGCGACTTCCAGATCGCAGTGGGCACTGCCGGACCTCAACCGCGACTTCCAGATCGCAGTGGGCACTGCCGGACCTCAACCGCGACTTCCAGATCGCAGCGGGCACTGCCGGACCTCAACCGCGACTTCCAGATCGCAGTGGGCACTGCCAGACCTGAACCACGACTTCCAGATCGCAGTGGGCACTGCCGGACCTCAACCGCGACTTCCAGATCGCGGTGGGCACTGCCGGACCTCAACCGCGACTTCCAGATTGCAGTGGGCACTGCCGGACCTCAACGGCCAGATAGAATGCCAGAAGATATGCCAGATAGAATGCCAGAAGATATGTCAGATAGAATGCCAGAAGATATGCCAGAACATATGCCAGAAGATATGCCAGGTAGAATGCCAGATAGAATGCCAGATAGAATGCCAGAAGATATGTCAGATAGAATGCCAGAAGATTTGCCAGATAGAATGCCAGAAGATATGCCAGAGCATATGCCAGAAGATATGCCAGATAGAATGCCAGAAGATATGTCAGATAGAATGCCAGAAGGTATGCCAGATAGAATGCCAGATAGAATGCCAGATAAAATGTCAGATAGAATGCCACAAGATATGCCAGATAGAATGCCAGAAGATATGCCGGAAGATATGCCAGATAGAATGCCAGAACATATGCCAGAAGATATGCCAGATAGAATGCCAGATAGAGTGCCAGAAGATATGTCAGAATATATGCCAGAAGATATGCCAGATAGAATGCCAGATAGAATGCCAGATAGTATGCCAGAAGATATGTCAGATAGAATGTCAGAAGATTTGCCAGTAAGAAAATGTATAAATGCCATGGTGGGGATCATTCGAAGTGAAGATAATTATTTTCCATTTCATATATGGGATGTCATCCTTCCAATTGACGAACTCATATTTTCCAAGATGGTTAAAACCACCAACCAGACGAAGAAGAAGAAGATGATGATGATGATGAATCTATTGTTTGCTGCTCATTATTTTTTAACGAACTCATTGAATCGGAGAGTGGCTGTTTCGATGCCAGAAGCCTCAGAAAGCTATTCCCCGATGTCCCATGTATGGAATCGTTACTTGCTCTCATTCTACCGACAATGACCCAAATGCGGACAAAAATACACCTTCGATTCATCCATGGATTTGCCAAATTTTGTGGGTCAAGGGGGCTATTTTGAAAAAATAATTTGAGGAACAAACAAGGATTTAAGGTTTTGGGGTTATGTGCCTGGAATTGTACGACTCTTGAGGGCAAAAACAAGAAATTTACGATTGAACATGGCCATGTTGCATACGTAGAAGTTGCTGTTTGTGCTGAAAGTTGCTACAAATGACCCAATAATGGTCAAAAATGCATCATTTTTCTTACGAATTATTTCTTGATTTCTGCAAATTTCAACTATATGAGACACATCTTTAGGAGTAAAAATTGCCATGTTGCATACGTAGAAGTTGCCATTTTTGCTGCAAATGGCAAAAACGATGACCCGAAAATGCATCATGTTTGCTGAATTTTCTATGTTTTCATGTATTGAAAATGTTTTCTCACAATCAACTTGCCAAAGATGGAACTTTATCATGAAAAAACACCACGGTGCAATGCTATTTGACTTCAAAAATACCTACAAGCTGGTTTTCCTACGTAGGTTGGCGTGTTTTAATGATTTTGGTGTTTATTTGATCATTTTTCCTTGATTTTTGAAGCTTGAAGTGACTTTTACAAGTAGAACCTTAGACATTTTGGAAACCTGAAATTTTCAAATCTAGTTCTGGCGCAAGACCTGTTCTCCCATAAACCTCATATCCCTGCGAAAACCTTATGCGTTTGTTCCCCACCTGCCAGGTGAGGGTTGTTAGATTTTATCAGAGTTGTTCTCCTCCTCGGCTAGCTGTCCTCCTCCTCCTCCTCGTCCTCCTCCTCCGCCTCCTCCTCCAGTTTCTCCTCGACCATGTCTGCATCAACTTCCACCTGCACGCCTTGCCAACTCTTCGCCAAGCTCTTTGCCAACTCTCTTCGCCAAGCTCTTTGCCAACTTCCCAGCTCAGTGTGCACCGCTGGACCTCAACCTGGTACCTTCCCAGCTCAGTGTGCACCGCTGGACCTCAACCTGGTACCTTCCCAGCTCAGTGTGCACCGCTGGACCTCAACCTGGGACCTGCCCAGCTCAGTGTGCACCGCTGGACCTCAACCTGGTACCTTCCCAGCTCAGTGTGCACCGCTGGACCTCAACCAGGGACCTGCCCAGCTCAGTGTGCACTGCTGGACCTCAACGGGCAGATAGAATGCCCGAAGATATGCCAGATAGAATGCCAGATAGAATGCCAGATAGAATGCCAGAAGATATGCCAAAAGATATGCCAGAACATATGCCAGAAGATATGCCAGATAGAATGCCAGAAGATATGCCGGAAGATATGCCAAAATATATGCCAGAACATATGCCAGATAGAATGCCAGAAGATATGCCAGATAGAATGCCAGAAGATATACCAGATAGAATGCCAGAAGATATGCCAGATAGAATGCCAGAAGGTATGCCAGATAGAATGCCAGATAAAATGTCAGATAGAACGCCACAAGATATGCCAGATAGAATGCCAGAAGATATGCCAGAGCATATGCCAGAAGATATGCCAGATAGAATGCCAGAAGATATGTCAGATAGAATGCCAGAAGGTATGCCAGATAGAATGCCAGATAGAATGCCAGATAAAATGCCAGATAGAGTGCCAGAAGATATGCCAGATAGAATGCCAGATAGAATGCCAGATAGTATGCCAGAAGATATGTCAGATAGAATGCCAGAAGATTTGCCAGTAAGAAAATATATAAATGTCATGGTGGGGATCACACGAAGTAAAGTATTTTTTATATATGTTTTTTTAATAATTGGGGCTTAAGCCCCTTGAGCCACGAAATTTGGCAGATGGATTACAACAATTCATTTAACACGTGTTCATTGGGATTCATAAATTTTCATATGGGATTTGCCCTTGACCCCAAGTGGCCCACGGTGGTCGGGAATGGCGCAGCGTTGCGCCAGGCGACTACGGCTGGAAGGTCCTGAGCTCGGCAGATCCGGAGGGCAAGAAGCGCAAACTGAGCGCAGAATTGGCCAATGGCAGACTGGCGATGAGCCTCGGAAGTGACAGTTATATGTGGATGGATGGGTCAAAACCTGTTGCATATTACTACCATATTTGGAGGAATAAACATCCAGTAGCTAGCTATTATAGGGTATTAGGGTACCAGGGTTTTGACTCACAGCCATATATCCATATAGAGTATCAATATTGGTGTGTTTTGATTGTTTTTACTATTACTAGCCTATCGAACTTATTGTATACCGTTATGGATCAATAGCTATAGATACATGAATTGTGAATGGGGATGAAAATTCAGCTAAACCAACTATTTTGATGTGAACAGAGGGGTTTGACCCATCCCCATATATCTATACATAGACTAGAGACAATATCTAGATCATATCGAGGAAATTATGGATAGATTTACAACCCTGAATATATTTATAGATATCTAAAGGATATACCTAAGTTGTTTTCCGTTGTGTGACTAGAGACAACATCTAGATCATATCGAGGAAATTATGGATTAATTTACAACCCTGAATATATTTATAGATATCTATAGGATATACCTAAGTTGTTTTCCGTTGTGTGACTAGAGACAACATCTAGATCATATCGAGGAAATTATGGATTAATTTACAACCCTGAATATATTTATAGATATCTATAGGATATACCTAAGTTGTTTTCCGTTGTGTGTACCTGGTATCGAATCTGAATCTTATGTGTAAAAATATAATCTAAATACAACCAAATCATTCGATTAATACAATCTACTCTGACCGAAAATATATCTAATTCATACTAAAATCCAAGCAAATCTAAGCTCATCTCACCTATCTATCTTTTTGTCTGCGGAGGATATTGTTCAGTCGTGGCCATCAAGTTGGCCGGAGATGATGCAGATCTGTCGCTGCAATGTATCCCCATCCCCAGTTATGCATGTGTCTTTACTATAAAGCCGCCTAAGTGTTTCAACTATATAATATATATCTACCAGGTTACCATAGTAAACCTAGTTACAAATGAACGGACACCCATTTTGGGGACTCCACATTGTATGATATATCTAGTGTACACCTCCTTTCACCCCTGGTTTGGTCTCAGGATGGCTATCATCGGCATGTTCTTCCAAGACGGTTTGACAGGCTGCGGGTAGATGGGTTGACCACGGACCCCACGAAACAAAAATAGCACAAGATCAACAAAGCACCACAAATTTAATTACCTGTGTATGAAAAAATCTGTAAGAATATATGCTACATGTGTGTGAGTGCAAATTATATATATATATATATTTATTTATTTCTAAAGGTATCTACATCAATATATATATGTACGGTTCAAAGCAAACACACAAATATATATATATATAGGCCGAAATAGGTTAGCTTCAAATTATTAGACATTACATTTTGTTTGGGGTCCATATGTGCCACACCCATTTCTTCGAGACATAGCCATGCGTTTCTATGGGTTGGACGTTGTGTTTTTGTCGGACAAGGTTATGACTCAGAACAAACACAAAATAAACAATGTATGTTTTAGATACTGGTTAAGACTAGGTTGAGAAGATCAATTTATTACATACAATATCTGATTATATCTGATTGTTGGTTTCAAATTGAAGTATGTTCAAACAAAATCAACCATAGAAATGGAATGATCTGGGATGATCACCCCCAATGAGTCTGGGATGGGTTGACACCACAGAACTGCATGCAGCTAAACATATAGTGTAAAAGCAAGGTATCTAACGTCAGTCAAGGGACATGAAGGTAGGACTCTCTAGGATTAGTTAGTTTTTGTGTTTTTTTTTGTGACCGTTCTTGAATTGAGAAAGAGAGGTAGGAATCGGTAGGAACCAAGATATGATCGAAGGTAAGAATGTACTGGAAGGGGAAGGGTATGTATGAGCTATAAACGAATTTTACCCCTTAAAGCTGGATCGGCGAACATGACTGGCAGATGTCCGACTGTGTTTACTATCTGACAACCTTTGTTCAAACATCTACATTTAGTTTATGCGCATGTTGCTCATCATGTATGGTGGTTGCCACAATTATAGAACGGAAGTTGAGGAGTACGAAGGTACGGTTATATAAACCGTACCCTGTTGTTCTATAATTATGTTTTCCTCAGAAGGTATGAGAAAAAGTTTACCTTAACTTACTCCCATTTTTTCGTCGTTCTATAATTCTTGTTTGTTCTATAATTGCGTTTTCCCCCATATTTCTCACATTTACCAATTCTCTTCTATGATTAATTTTCGCGTTCTATAATTAATTTTGCAGACAGTCCGTTCTATAATTCTGCTTTCTATGTCACTTTTTTCCGGGGTCCCAGAAAATACATAAAATGATGAAAATATAAGTAACCTCTTCCGGGGGCCCAGAAAGATACATAAAATTATGCAAATATATGTAACCTCTTCCGCGGTCCCAGAAAGATACATAATAAAATGATGCAAATATAAAAGTAACCTCTTCCGGGGTCCCAGAAAGATACATAAAATGATGCAAATATATGTAAGTAACCTCCAAGACTCATACAATCTGCGTGTTTCTCGTGGTTTCAATGGGAATTTGAGGACCGAGGTATGTACTATACCATATATGTATATACAGCCATATTCTTTGGGGTATGTATGTACCATAAAATAAACATGTCGTAGGGTTTTCCAGGAAGGGTATCTACGGTATGTGTGCAATTATGTATACATATATGCAATAGATATCATGTCATGGCCAAAAATTAATCATAGAACGGAAGTTGAGGAGTACGAAATTGTTAATAATAGAACAGACAGAAAATTAATTATTGAACAGGATCCGAATTTCCCCCGAATCGAGATCCGGAGGAGTAAGAAGGTACGGTATTTGACCGTACTTTTGTACTCCTAATTCTGTTCTATAATTGTGGCACCTCCTGTATATTTTTGTCATATGTTCACCTTACTTTGTACATATCCAAAAAATATCATAAAATATGATGTATCCCAAATTTTGGACATATTTAATCATATTCAATATTTGTCCATATATACATATTACATATATATATATATAGATATGGTTGATGGTTTCAACCATTTTTTATTTTCCATAATATATGGGATAATCCTTCCCATTGACTTTTATATTGTTCAAGATGTTTATTGCGCCACCAACAAGATATATATTTATACATAGTTGTTTGTTGAGGTTTCTTTGGTTCGATCCCTTGGGTGAAAGGAAGCGCCTGGGGAGACTGGGCCAACTACACCGACTCTCCCTTGCGCGCCTTCGAGAACGAGACTGGCGTAGCTTGGACAGGGACCTTCATGGATTCAGCGTTGGAAAGACGTGGAATTTTTGTGAGTTAGTTGGATTTTGGTCAAGTTACTTGGATTTAACCGAGAAACAGTGGTTATTTCATGGAATATGAATAGGGGGTTCATGTTTTTTTCAGCAACTATTGGATGAAATTGGAGTATATATCCAGATTGGATCATATTGGGAAAATGTGGATAATCAATCCATGCTCATTTGGAATATACCCATTATGTTAGGATGAACACAAACCATATACCATGTTTTCACCATGGTTCATATGTTTGTTTGTTTAACCATTGAACCATTTGGGGAAAACACCATTCAAAATTTAAGCATCAATAATGGTCAAGACATGGGTATTTGACCACCAAACCTTTGGTATATATATATAGATATAATGTACCCTTGGTACACCACTTAATTTAGCATCGAACCTGAACAAGGGTTTATGGACCACTTCAACCACTTGTCCCTGAGATCCATAGGGTCACACTGCTCATGTCATATTAGCGTTGCTGATGGCAGCATGTCGATGCATTCTTTCGTTGCAATCCTGACACATGATGTTTTACATTTTTTCATCATAATCTATAGTATCCCGAATCTATAGCATCCGAATCATGAAAGTGTCATAGCTTGATTACCAGACCTACTCTTCATGAACTCTATCTCTTTCAAGGGCTGTTTCATTACTCCCTGCCGGGCCTGCCTCATCTGTGTATCGACATCCCAAAGTCCCAGTTAGATGAGCAGAAGAGACCGGTGTGGGATCTCGTTCCCAGTTTTTGCCAGCCAGGTACATAGGCTACATATATTTCCATCCTCATTCTATGGTAGGTTGAACCGGCTCTTCGCGACATGTCATTTGTGCAGGGATAATCCAAGTCCTTGAATCATATCAAGAACAAACTCTTGACTTCGCATAACCGTGTCCAAATCCTAGAATTCCATGGAATCAGAAGTTAAGTGATAATCAGCTATTTGAGTCTGTCCATTGACCAACCATTTCTATCCATGTATCAAGTGTCTACCAACCATTTGCCAATGAATTGCACACAATTGACTAACCCTTCATGAACCATCAATAATAATCAATATCAACAAGTTGCATCTATTTACGGTGTATAAACCGGTATTTATAAACCATTCACAAAGAATTCATGAACACTTCACAATCCATTTATAGGCTTTTACACCCATTTCCGACCTCCAAAGTTCGCCGGCTCCCACCATTTGACCGGTGCTAAGGTGCAGCCTCCCGTAGGCTTCTGGGACCCCTTGGGTCTCTCCACCAGTGGCAACCTCTCTGAACCTTGGCGACAGTAGCCTGGTTGGGTAAGACTTGTTGGGACTTTACACTGAATAAGCAAAAATGTCCCAACAACAACAACAACAACAACAACAACAACAGATATATCATTGGGATTTCCCTAGCATATACTACTTGAATGTTGGTTAATACAATATTCAAAATGGAATACTGATGTTAGTAGTTAAAAATTAGAGCAATATAAACCATCCATGTTTTGATGGTTTATACCAAGAATTTATGGCAAACTTGGGGATGGTGGATCCTATTGCTTTAATATATAATATGTTTTTTTGGATTATGATAACCTCGAGGTTTGGGAAACCGTCTGAAAAACCCACAACACTGTAGTATTCCACGAGATGGGATAGTGCTCACTTGCAGGTCCATGAGTATCCGAGAAGCAGCCTCAATTCATCCCAGAACAATGGTCGGCACCAGTGCCTTCCAGACGTGTTGCGCAGGGTAAGATACACTCTCGAATCCACCGCAGCGCTACTCATTCAAGATCCAGTCAGCTTAGGATTGCCCAGCGTCAACAAAGAAGGTATATTACATATGCCAAATTGGCCAGAACCGTTGACAAAGTGAGGCATTGCCCCCTTCCCTGGAGGGATAAATCTCAAATCCTTTTTTTGTGGCAACTAAAGCCCTAGCGGCCTGTGGGCAGGACATCTATTTTTTGGCATTCCTGATGAAGCTACTATTTCCCAATGATGTTGGGCCGTTGACTTTCTCCTGCAGAAAGTCCTTCAACCTTATACCAGTGAACTGACCAAATCGACAAAGTTTTTGTGGAATCGACACTTGGGTTACTTGGGTTATCTTGGGTTTATCTGGATTTAAAGCCAAATTCTGTCCACTTGTTTATCATTTTGTTTGTTTCAAAAATTGATGTGGTGGCGTAGCCCATTTTCAGGCACACCCACTTGACTGCATTGATTTTGAAGGATCAGGCTATTACGGCCATGAAAGTGGATTCCAGCTATGCTAAACTTTGCTGAGCGCGCAACAACCGTGAGCTGACCTTGATTCGTTTATGAACATCTGTAAGTTGAATCTTTATTGCTGCGGGTGAAGTCATGATCAATTTGGCTGACATGCATTTCTTGTTGCTTCAAATCCCTACAAGAATGTCCCTGATTTGTTTCCCTCAATCCCCATGCCTGCCTGCTAGATCCACAGCATTTTTGGGTCTCCCCATTTCGATAAACGTGGTGAAAAACCACCATGTTTGGGGTTGAATCCGCATCCCAAATGGTTAGCTTGGATCAGACGCTTTTGGCTCAATTATTTGAACACCCAAACACCTATACTTCTAGTTGAAGTTGAATTCCAAATATATGTAGTTGTATGACATTGTTTCAAGTCCCAATTATGTATTATCTATAACTTAAACCATATTTGTTGTGTGGAGTGGACAGTCATATTTGTATGCCAGGTTTATAGCTTCAAATTCCATCTTTTGTTGGTTCAATATTGCTCGATCAGTTCAAAAACCAGAAAAACATGTTCACGCAAATCTCATCTTTCGATCATGTTCGATCTTTAGTTCAATCGAATTGAAAAGTATCTGGTTGGTGGTTTGGAACATTTGTTATTTTCCATATATATATATTGGGAATAATCATCCCAACTGACTTTCATATTGTTCAGAGGGGTAGGTCAACCACCAACCAGATATACTATTATCCATGATGAATCATTTCCATTATGAATCATCCAACCAAATACTCTTATCCATATTGAAATATATTGAATCATCCAACCAGATATTGAAACTCCCAAGTCTTCCATCCATCACCAGATATATATCATAATTAACCATCATTAATCATATAATAACCATTACTATTAACCATAACTATAACAGTATATTAACCATCATTACTCCCAAGTCTTCCATCACCTTTCGTTTTTAATCCCCAAAAAAAGTCACGGCCGAATTCGGCTCCCAGGACTACAAGCGTCGCCGAGAGGTGGAGTTGAAGCACGGACGTGTGGCGCGGTGGATTTTTAGGAGATTGCGTGTGTCTGAAAATCGGGTAGCCACCCCAAAAAAAGACAGGTAATATGTATATATATATATAGATAGATAGATAGATAGATAGATAGATTAGATAGATAGATAGATAGATAGATAGAGAGATAGAGAGATAGAGAGATAGATAGATAGATAGATAGAGAGATAGATAGATAGATAGATAGAGAGATAGAGAGATAGAGAGATAGAGAGATAGAGAGATAGAGAGATAGAGAGATAGAGAGATAGAGAGATAGATTAGATAGATTAGATAGATTAGATAGATTAGATAGATTAGATAGATTAGATAGATTAGATAGATTAGATAGATTAGATAGAGATAGATAGATTAGATAGATAGATAGATAGATTAGATAGATAGATAGATAGATAGAGAGATAGATAGATAGATAGATTAGAGAGATTAGAGAGTTTAGATAGATTAGATAGATAGATAGATAGATAGATAGATAGATAGATAGATAGATAGATAGATAGATTAGATAGATTAGATAGATTAGATAGATTAGATAGATTAGATAGATTAGATAGATTAGATAGATTAGATAGATTAGAGAGATTAGAGAGATTAGACAGATAGATAGATAGATTAGATAGATTAGATAGATTAGATAGATTAGATAGATTAGATAGATTAGATAGATTAGATAGATAGATAGATAGATAGATAGATAGATAGATAGATTAGATAGATAGATAGATAGATAGATTAGATAGATAGATAGATAGATAGATAGAGAGAGAGAGATAGAGAGATAGATAGAGAGATAGATAGATAGAGAGAGAGATAGATAGATAGATAAATAGATAGATAGATAGATAGATAGATAGAGAGAGAGATAGAGAGATAGAGAGATAGATAGATAGATAGATAGATAGACTATATATATACGTTTTTGCATATATACATGAAAATGTTGTGTGATTAGATGTAGCTCAGTAGTGTAATCAGTGTACATATCATGTTGGGTGCTCATTTATGTATATATATATATAAATTATGATATATATATATTTGTATATTGTGATATACATACATATATATACATATATATATACATATTTATTTCTATATATGTATGATGATATAATATTGTTGATCATGACTTCCCGTGAAGAATTGCCGATTTGGGTGTATATATATAATATAGAATCCATTTCAAGACACACCCACATGGGCATTTGGGGGTACCATCTTCAGCCACACCCAAAAATAACGAATATTTTACTGAAGCCACAATTAAAACAGGGAGGGGTAGCAAATTCACAGGTAGTACTTGGGATTTTTGTTTGGATTTATCCAGTTGGATGAGTTTTTTTTCTCCAGTTGTACTTTGGCATTTTTTTTCAGGGCATCAGGGCATGACTGGGATATGATATGTTATTGATGGAATAGAACCAGCAGATCAAATTGGTGGCGTCCCCAGGGAGACCTTGCAATGAATGTGGTGGAGGCAGTTTGTCTCCCACACAGGAATTAGGCCCGAGAAAAATACAAGTTGTAAGTACTGAAATAACCCCATTTATAGAGTGTATAATACCATAGAAATAACCAGTTATAACTCAGAAACGGCCATAACTGCATATATTTGGAGAGTGGTCCAAAATGAAGGATGACCCAATGCTATTGTCACTTTGGTAAATACCCATGGATTGGTCAAAATGGGCAACACGCCATTTTGATGGCTGCTGTATATGATGATGGGGTGATTCACGAGTTGTTCAATATTTGATGGAGAAGAACAACATGGTTATTTCCTGTATATCTCCCTTAAATCATCCGAGTGAATGTCAGAATCTGATGAAAGGGACATTCGCAACAACCCAAGAAACCTTTACAGTAAGCTAATGCTGGTTTCACAGATATATGAAACTGTGTACAAAAGTGACACGAGTTGTTGTTATATGCACTTGACTAGTTGGATTCTCCATGGTTTTGATCCTAAAATTGCACCAGATATTTCAGGGTTGGCTAGATGACGTGACATCACTGTGATTAGCCTGGCGTTTCCATTGGTCAAGCAAGGTTGAGTGGCTGAATGATCAGCCGGCATCGGTTGATTGGAAATCCTGCAACTCCTGGGAAAAGGGTCAGCCAACAAGACTGAGGCATGTAGAAATTTGTGGTTCCACATCCTCCTTCTGTTCAATGTTGTCAAACCCAACCTGGTCTAATTAGCAACTCAAACATGGCTAGCTGGAAAGTCCCCAAACTAAATGGGCATTTGTACATGGAAAATTCATTAATGGTGGATTTCTGATGTTCATCCCAGGCCTAGAAAAAAACAGCTGAGGTTGCCATGTTCGCCACCATTGGCTACATTCTCCCTGAGTACTGGAGGCTGGGCAAGTTGGGTACACCCATGCGGTAAAGAGATGTAACGATATGTAAAGACGAGTTGCTTGGAGTTTGTTTTTTTGGGTATTCTCTTGCGTACTTGGATTCCTTGAGTACCTCGAGCAGCAGCCATTTCTTACAAAAGACAAATGGACCAGACACATTGGGTCTCAAAGTGTCGGAACATTTGCTACCGTGTGGTATGTTGAGGTAAAGTCTATGTGAAATCCAGGTGTGCTTGATACTAGTGCAGGGCACACTAAACGATCGGTGCCCGCATTGGGGAGCCTGAAGTAGGTGCTACCTTGTTCATCCTTTTCTATGACATCAGTATATATGTAGGTGTGTGTGTGTGTATGTCCTTGCACCACATCATTGGTTCCAAAACTGTTTCTCTGGAAATACCAAGCAACTGAGTGGTGATCAGATCAGCTCACATAATACTTAAAAGGTATTATAACATGATATAACTTTATAGGTTAAAACCCCACTAACCAACCATTTAGAATGTTCCAACCTGATCCAGCCTGATCCACCGCCAGGTTCCCCGGCTATTTGTCCAAGTTCCTGGACATCAAATTCTCGGAGGTTCCCAACGGCCTGAGCGCTTTCTCCAAGGTGGGTCAAGTCGCTGGGATACCATTCCAGTATTGGTGCTGGCTGACCATGATTACATAATTATTTATAACATTTATAGTTTGAGCCCACTCATGTCTAAATGATTGGTGATTTCAGAGCGCATCAAGAACCCACAAAATTGTAGGTTTTTCCTCAAAAACCCGGCTGTTTCTTCAATTATGAACAAAAACCTGGTTTTTCTCAGAAAATATTGTTTTTTTCCTTTACTAGGGAAAAAAACATACTTTTTCTCACACTTGGTGTCATGACATCTCATGATTCGTTCCCTTAGACGATTCAAACCCCTTTATTGATACCAGCCTTGGATCTATCCCTCTCAGTACCCTTCATGTTGATTATGCTTCCACCCTGCTGGCTTTGGCTGGCAGTTCTCACAAGAAAGGGCCCGATGCTCTTGGAAAATGTCGGACAACATCAAGTGTGATCACAGTCAATCTGGAGTCGTTGGATGATTTTTTCCCAAGAACCACCCCTAGAAGCATAAATTGAAACATGGCTGGATTTTTTGCATTGGGAAAAAATGATTCTGGATTGCCAAAGTCCAACAAACAGTCCAACAAAAGTAGCGAACAAAATTAACAAAATCATGAGAAATCAATCGGAATTTTCAGTTTTTAAATGTGTTTAATCATTTCGGATGAAAATTTTAGGGTCTGTACCCAAAAAATGCCATATTTAAGCCGTACTAAGCCGTACTAAACCCATATTTCACCCGTACTAAACCCATATTCTGATATAGTAAAAAAAATGTTTTTTGGAACCCATATTTAAACCATATTTAACCCATATTTGACCTATACTAACCCGTACTCAAAATATGGGTTTTTTGCCTCTGAGAATTGACGGCACGACGTCGAGTTTTAAGGCTCCGCTTGTGGTTTTGCAAGATCGAACCGGTAATTGCCCGATCCAGACAAAAAGAAAACAACACAGATTACCGGAGCTATTGTCAATTTACTGGGTTCATATCTGAAAAGCTGATTCTTGAAATGCCATGCATATCCATTGTGACTTTTTGACTACCTCCAGTCCCGCTGAAGGGAAAGTTCGCAGCATAGGGGGCAACTGCGGCTGGTGGAGAATGCGCGCATCGTGTCTGATAACGCTTGCTTCGGTTTCGATCGCGCGTTCTGTCTGACAGATTTCACAAGTTGTCAGTATGACATTGCTACATGTAACGAGGAGAAATTTGATACAGGTCCACCCGATTTGGTCAAGTTTGTGCAAATCCAACAAAAACCAGAATATGGGTTCTTTACAAAAACCCGGTTTTTCTTGAAAAAACTAGTTTTTTTTCACTGGGCCTACAATTTTTTGGGTCTTTGAAGCTCCTGGTATATATATATATATATATGTATGTATGTATGGCAACGTCCTCAAACTCGGGACCAATTTATGAGACGTTGGCTGAAAGCATTGGAAAAACCTAAGACAACACGGGCATGTTTTGGGGTGTTCACCGGACGAAAAGGGATCCAGGATCTCCAGTCAATCGAGGTTTGATCACCAGTCATTTACGATTGGATACACCATACAGTTGCCCAGTTCAAATTGTTGTCCTTACTTGTGTTTCATTATATCACCTTATTTATAAGAAAAACATCCCGGCAGGTCTGAAACACCGACCCACAATTTTATCAAAATTGCGGGTTGCCATCATAACTTGTGGCCGTTGCCAGAGACATCTCATGGAGATTGCAACACCTGCAGGGTTTTGACGAGTTGAGGTGGATTATATTTTTTGGGCTGGATGTCACCTCAAGGTGCATCGTGATGATCCAGCATTCTTTGAAATGGATCTCTTTTGGTTGCCAGAGTCAATGACCTTCGACGAGGGCCTGGCATTGGCAAAGGATGAGCGAGCACGAGGTTTCGTCAAAAAGGGCTCCGCTGGCCGCTTAGCAAGTCGATTTGACTCTGCCACTGTCTGTGCTGACTGTGCAAACGAAAAAAGTCTCCGAGACACTTCTCATCTTGGGAGGTTCAAAGTCACTGGTGTGATACATCACGTGCCGTCAACAGCACTTGCACCACAGCATCGATCTTCTACATGATAACATACAAGATGTCTTCAAGCTCGGCCACATCGACCGAACGCTATGCTCCAAGGAGAGGCGGCAGTGAAACTGCTGCCACCTTCAACAAAATGAGAAGACTTGAAGTCCTCATGAAGTCTTCCAGTGGACATCACACCGAAAGGGTGTTGTCTCGAGTTAATAATATCTCCACATTTTTCAATGAATCAAATAGAAAATGAAAGAATAATTTATTGGTGTCTCAACCCTTCGGACAACATGAAAACCACGGATAAAAAAGAAGAAAGATGCAGAAGCGACCATGTAAAAAATGCAGACGTATCTTTGACCCTCCCCACCCCCACCTCCCACCCCTGACCTGTCCCGCGTCAATGATGTATGAACATGCACGTGAACGTTAACATCCCACCCCCACCGCACCCCACCCACACGTAACCCTGACGTATCGTCTAAGATAACTTCATGATGTGAAAGTCGATGATCGATGATGTATGAACTTGTACATGAACGTTAACATCCCACTAACCCTGACGTATCGTCTAAGATAACTTCATGTGCTGTGACAGTCGATGATGTGTTGTGGGACGGTAAAAGATATGTCTGCAAAAACCCACATGTAGTTGTAAACAACAGCACATGTCCCATGATTCCAGCAACCGCGTGTGGCACGTATTGGCATCACTAATTTCTCAAAATTCCACCATAACAGGTGGTACCCCCCAGTGATGTTTGTTGATTTATAAACTCCGTCAACTATAGTTGTAATCACCATCAACCCAACAGTTAATCTATAGTAACTTCCAAAAAGATCAAAAGTTATAAATATAAACATCAGAATAATGATTGGGATTTCACGAGCTTTGATCTTAACTTAGTGGGCGTTGCTATAGTTATATAACCGACTGAACAGTTGGGGCAGCAAAACGGGCCATCGCAGGTGCCTTCCTTGGGATGGCTGCAGATCGTGGGCTTCGCGGGTATCGTGGAGCTCAACGTGGCTTTGAATCTGCCATGGAAGCCAGGGAAATCAGAGGTAGACCATGGTAAAATCCTTGAACTAAATGGGTTACCCTCTGGTAATTTAACATAGCTATTGAAAATGGCAATTTACATATCAATGTTGAATTACCATGAATTACCAGAGGGTGTGCAAGAAATGCCATGGCCAAATTCGTTGGATCAGATCAATCCTTATTGGGGGACGGTCATACTGAAAACGTGAGTTTTATCATGGCCAATATGAGGATTCCCAGTGGTTAAATGACCACCGGTATGTTGTGTTTGCATCTACGGTTCATTATCATGTTTATGTTTGTTTTGTTTATTGCCATTGTTATGAACATGTTTTTCATGAATATGATTGATTGTATTATGTGTCTGTTCTTTTTTTTGGGGATGATCTGTATTATGTGCAGTGCTTTCACGTAAGTTCCTTATCAATATATGGGTCTCAGGGTCAACATTAAGGACGCTGGGTCCATTCCCATGTCCGAAAGAAAATGATTGCATCATGTAGTTTGATTGTTTTTGGCAGCACAAGAGAACAGGTTTATGTATGTTTATGTATGTTTATGTGTGTTTGCATACAGTATTTGCATTTGTATTTGTAGCAATCATCTATCATGTATTTACTTATAATTACATACATACATACATACATACATACATATATATATATATATACATACTGTACATATAATATATATATATATTACATATATATATATAATACTTATTATTGATTATAAATTTATATTTTATATTATATATTGTTTGTTTGTTTTAAAAACAAAAACAAAAAACTATATATATATATGGTACATACATATCATAAATACCTATATGTTGTAAATATTGTTCACACAGAGAGTATTGCTATGACCAAAACTATATATAACATCATTTGTTCGTGCCCCCAAAATTTGGCTCTGCTCTCTCTCGTGACATTTGGGGGTCTAAGGTGTACAACGAGCAGGTGAACGATGAGCCTGGCAACTACGGGGCTGGATTCTTGGGACTGAGGCTCGGATGGGCAGGTGGTTTACTGGACACTCCTCAAAAAAGCGAGGCCATGATGGTCGTTATGACATATTTTATGTGTGACTTATGTTTGAAGAACTACGTTAGTTTTTTGGGTTCAGATGAGTCTCACAATGATCTATGATGGTCTCAAGGTAGGGAGAACGATTTTTTGCCCCACCGAGAACTGAGCAATGGTCACAGTCACACAGACAGAACATGCCAAAAGTCCACACATAACTACAGGTGCGCCAAACTGCGAGGTATGACATTCTCTCATTTTTCTGGGTGTTCAGCAGTGCATCTGGGTTTTTCTCATGGTTTCCATGCCCAACTCCATGATCATTCTGTGGAGTCTGGGTCGAGCCCCCCCGTGCAGTGTTTGGGAGCCAGTTGGAGCTACCAAGAGTTTCCCAACAACAGAATAGTTAATAGCAGATTCCTTTCCTATTTTGTTTCCCTCTAATACCAGTTAGTACTATGCACCTTGTTGACTTTCCAGGAAGGGGCCCTCCTATAATAACTACATATCAACATATATCAACATATATCAACACATATCAACATATATCAACACATATCAACATATATCAACATATATCAACATATATCAATCATATACCATGGCAAAGCTAGTTCTAAACCAATTTTCCCATCATATCCCATCATCCCAAGTGTTGTTTAGATCCGAGTTGTTTGATGGTGACCATCCCATCCCATTGCACCGCAAGACGTCAGGTCCATTGGTTTCATGAACGCCGGCATCGCCGACCCCGAGGTCCGCAAGAAGAAGCTGAACGCTGAGCGACTCGGCGGGGCCGGAGGTTTTTTTTCCGGCAGAATCAGGAGCAAATGCGTTTGTTTGCATGGTTCGAGATGATTTCATTGATTTAACATATAGTGTATACTGTATAGTTATATTATATCATGTAGTTTGGTAATTACTGTATATGGTTTAAATATGGATGTTGGTTTGATATGGTGTTGATATATGTTGGTATGCAATAGCAATATGTGCTACAGCAGAAGCCGGGTATTCCTGGGCCTATCGTACGCATGTTGCAACGGCTCTACACGGGTATGGAAGCTAGAGTTTGTGGAGCCCGTGGGGTGAGTGAACCTTTTGCCTGAACACTGGTGTAGGCCAGGGAAGTGCCGAAGGGCCAGTTCTTTTTCTTTTCTAGTTTTCGTTTGTTCTCGGGCTGTGCAGTTCCCGCGATTCCATCTTTGCAGATGACACGGAACTTCTTGCTGGCTACCAAATAGTCACAGTTCACGCAAATGTCATTTAATCAATGCAACCATCTGGTGTATGTATATATATATATTAATAAATAAATACATGTATATATATATACATTGTATTATATGGTGGTTGAATGCAGGCATAATACAAATTATGGTGTTAATATGTGTTATTAGTTATTAGCTAATGAGATTGTGAAATTAAGCAACCCACCATTTGCAGATCATTTTCCCCACGGGAAACCATTGGTTTTATACATCTTTTTGTGTGTTTACCCCTAGGGTGTTCTATTAAATCCGATATAACCCATAATATATATATACATATATACATAGACATATAGATAGATAAATAGATAGACAGACACAGATACAGAGATACAGACAGATAGACAGACTGACAGACAGATAGACAAGACAGACAGACGGACGGACGGACGGACGGACGGATAGAGAGAGAGAGAGAGATAGATAGATAAGATAAGATAAGATAAGATAGATAGATAGATAGATAGATAGGATTAGATAGATAGATAGGATTAGATAGATAGATAGATAGATAGATTTATAGATATCAAGATATACAGATAAAAAATAGAAAGATGGATAGAAATATAGATAGAAATATAGATAAGATAGATAGATAGAAATGTAGATAAGATAGATAGATAGATGGATAGATAGATAGATAGATCGATAGATAGATAGATAGATAGACTTAGATAGATAGACTTAGATAGATGGATAGATAGATAGATAGATAAATAGATAGATAGATAGATAGATACATAGATAGATAGATGGATAGATAGATGGACAGATAGATAGATGGATAGGTGGATAGATGGATAGATGGATAGATAGATAGATAGACAGATAGATGGATAGATGGATCCATGGATCGATGGATCGATGGATCGATGGATCGATGGATCCATGGATCGATGGATCGATGGATCGATGGATCGATGGATCGATGGATCGATGGATCGATGGATAGATAGATAGATGGATAGATAGACAGATAGATAGATAGATAGGCAGATAGGCAGATAGGCAGATAGGTAGATAGGTAGATAGATCGATAGATAGATAGATCGATAGATAGATGGATAGATAGATAGATAGATTGGCTAATAGGCAGATAGGCAGATAGGTAGTTAGATAGATAGATAGATAGGCAGATAGGCAGATAGGTAGATAGGTAGGTAGATCGATAGATCGAAAGATCGATAAATAGATAGACAGACAGACAGATAGATAGATATATGATATATTCCTTTTAATTCCCATCAAATTCCTATTAGATCGCCATATTATATCATTTTTTTGGGGTGACCATCGTTTCAGTCGCTCGACACGAGGTTGGCCAACGGCCGCCTGGCCATGTTCGCCATCATCGGAATGTTCTTCCAGGCGAGTTGAATAGAGATGAGAGGCTCCAAAAACCATTCAGAATGTGCATGTACCCAAACAATAAATAACATAGTTCTACTCAACTAGAACCTACAAGAAATAATGTAGCTTTACCATTCATTTAGGGTTGAGGATACAATAAGATCGAAACCAGTAATAGAAAAAATAATTAAAACACACCAAGAGTGATAGAATTCAGATAACAATATGGAAGTGGAAAGCCTCTTTATAAAGAACGTTGACCAGAGGTTCCCTGCTAGATCTTCTGAAAGTATGTGATGCCCTCGGGACCAACTGTGTCTGTTATCATTTTTTTTGCTTAAATCTACCTATATAGATCCCATATTTTGCTGTGAAAGATGTAAAGATGTCACCGATGTAAAACACCGACATAAATTCCAACATTTTGAAACCTAACACGTTTGAATATACAACTTAGATGGAACATCTCGACTCTGCCAGAAACTTGCCACTTGCCATAGATGACATTCCCATGAAGTTCATCACTGGGTTGTGGTTATCCGGGTTGGATTGTACATCCGATATGTCCACCTTCAATTTGTTTGGGGGCTCAAAATAAATAGGTATTCACCTTACAAGACCACATTTTCCAATCAAACCATGTCAACTTCTGAAGGCAAAGAGACCTGGCCCCTGTCGGACAGGACGGCTTGACCGGCAGCGCCTTGGGTGACTGGGCCAACTACACGGACTCGCCCCTGCGGGCCTTTGAGGACACTATGCTTGGTGAATGGTCGAAGTTTGGCCATGAGGCACTGAGGCACTGTGGTTTCTGGGTAGACTGGTGAATGGTGATTGTTCTCGTTGTTTGATGGATACATTTGCTATTACATGCCATTACACCTGTTACATTATCATTATTATGCACTAGTAATATTAAAAAAACAAAAAAGGTAGGACTGATAGGGAACCTTGGCCACATCAAGCCAAAACTGTGGCTGCACCATCCTCCACCTACAGTTCAACAAGTTGTTGAAGAAAATAATCTGACCCCCTCAATCTGACAAATCTCATTCGATGCAAATGGAAGGAATCTTCACTAGCCGTTCTGAAGATCAGCAAAGAGAACGGCCGGTGCTGCAGCCGCTAAAAGCCCACTTTGATGAATGTTTGATAATTTTAGCGGTTTGTTCTTTCATAGTTTGATGCTCTGATGATCCCGTGTGTTTGCATTCTTCTAGGATGGGTTGAAACCATGAGCAAAAAACGTGTGTTTAAAGCTTGTTAGTTTGGGGTCTCAAATCTTGCTAAGCTAGTAAGATCCAGCGCTTGTTTGCTCCAAAAGGATGATGGTGCGGTTTTAAATTCAAAAAGTCAAACAGTCTTTTGACTTTTCAGGCTTTTCGATTTTTTCCTACTATTTTCAGTTGTTTCACCTCTTACAGTTGTTCCTTTTCGTTCTTCTACCTTTTCGTTCTTCCAACTTTTCGTTCAGAAAGTCAAAAAGTCCTCTCGACTTTTCGGCTTTTCAGTCTTTTCAACTTTTCGACTTTTCGGTTTTTGTTTACATACTTTTTGATTTTGTGTATTATACTACTTCAGGACTTTCCCGGAATAACATATCCAAATCAACTCTTCCTTTTGCACCTGCACGGCAACTAACGCCCCCTCTCCACTGTTGCAGCCTACCCAGAAAACAGCCTTGTCCATTCTTTTTCCCACATTATGACGGGTCTTGAGTCTGAACTTGCTTTATTCATTCGATGGCAGGTTGGTCGAATACCATGACTTCACACCACAATAAATACGTTAATTAACCGACATAGCATCCCCATAGGCTCAAGCCAAAACGCAAAAGTGATCAAAAGCTTCTGACTTCTTCGCATTCACCATCTCGTATTCTTGCGCAAGCGGAACGTCGACCCACGAGTGCGCCGAAAATCAACTTGGCTGCTGACCCCTTGGAGGCTGAGCGTGGAAATCCCACTTCAAAGGGCGAGGCCAACAATCCGCTCTCTGTTCTTCTCTCTCCAGGTGTCGAATATGTGAAGGAAGATTCGTTCCGCAAACCAATTTTCTCGATCGGGTACTTGCTTGTGATCGTCTCTACAGGTCAAAGGCAGTGTCGACTTGCTTGGTGTTTCTATTGCTATGGAAAACTCTGGATGTCGCCAAGAAGGGCAAGACTATCAAGGCAGTCCTGTCTGCCTGATGTGTTTCTCTGCCGTGTGACTCTGATGTCTTGCTGACAGCGGCACCTGCACCGCCTTGACCCATTGGATGTATCCGTGCTGCTAGTTTGCCGCATCTTTCCGAAGAATCGCATATCTTAGATTCTTAGATCTTATATGATGTAATCAATATTATTCCTTTTGACCCCCAACCTGCGAGACATACACACTAGGGAAACCATAATAAATCATGATAGCATATTCGATACTTTGAATTTGAAACAAGTTCTAGGTGCCCACTCCTCCCCCCACCCATGATCATGGGATGGATGGATAAGATAGATAGATAGATAGATAGATAGGACAGGACAGGACAGGACAGGATAGGATAGGATAGGATAAGATAAGATAAGATAAGATAAGATAGATAGATCGATGAATGGATGGATGGATGGATAGATAGATAGAGAGAGAGAGACAGAGAGACAGAGAGACAGACAGACAGACAGACAGACAGACAGACAGATAGATAGATAGATAGCTAGGTAGGTAAGTAGATAGGTAGATGGGTAGATAGGTAGATAGGTAATTTGAAGATAGTTCTTTAGATACTTCTTTAGACATATTCAGATAGCTCATTAGACTGATCTTTAGATAGTTCTTTCGATAGATATATATATATATAATATATATATATATTGATCGTTCTTTAGATAGTTCTCTAGATAGCTACTTAGATACTTAGCTATTTTGAGAGATAGTCACTTAGATAGTCACTATTGATCTCTTTTTCGAGGCCTCATTTTCGGCTCCCTGATTTCTGTCCCCAAACCGACCCAATCGACTCGACAGGACGAGCTGGGTGTCCAAGCGCCTGTGGGCTTTTGGGTGCTCCTGGCGCCATTGCAGCGGTCACCGGTCAGATTTCTTATAGAACATGATCAAGGCACTGTTCATCTATGGATATGACCAGATATGACCAGATATGACCATCAAGAACTTATGATTTTCAAGAATGTAGACATGTTTTTTTTTCTGAAAACTACCATTTTCACCGGGATTTGATACGTAGCCATATATGCACTAGTTTTTGGTCAGCATTGCGGACGAAACCGAAGGAGTCTGACCGATGGTTTGTCCGGAGGACTTGGGGGTACTCCCACACGCTCCCACATTTTCCACATTTGTGGGTGACCCCCCACAAAGACGCAGAGAGTTGTAAAATCATATCAAACTATTGTTATCTATTGTTCAAAATAGTAGTAAACTACGTTTTTTCCCCTTCTTTTTTGGTATGCTGCTTACCATAATTATATGAATATTCGTGGCACATGGTAGCCAGGATCCAGTGGGCTACACCCGTGATGGCTCCTCGGCGCGGGAGAGGGGTTGCTGGAAGGCTGGACGGAGCCATGGGCCCCCGCACCCCCCGCACTGACGCGATTTCAAGTAGTCCCCGCAGACATAAGTTGGTCAACAAAAATATCTAACTATAGAATACTATAGATGCATCTACTATCAAAATCTATCAAACATAAACCTATATCCAGCCGGATGATCTAGCCCAGAAAACAACATGGGTTTTTCTCCACCCAATCCGCCTCGCCCAGATTGAGCCTTTGAGTCTTATAAGGTGATGCTGAGAACTTCAAGCGACGCAGGGAGACAGAGATCAAGCACGGCCGTGTGGCCATGTATGCTACCATGGGTTGCCTGGATCGTGGCCTGCTCGGTGGTAGTGTAATTAATAAAGGTTAATTATGGTTGTTGTATGGGGATATAAGAACCACATATTTAAGAACGAAAACATGGGGATATGCCTAATGGAGGAATATACTAATACTATCCATCCAAACAAAAAGGTGTCCTTATGGGTAGAGAAGAAAATGATATTGATATATTGGTACTTGTTTTTTTGTTGTTCCTTCCCCCTGGATTATTTGACCCCAACCGGGGAACACTCTACTGCTAAACTGCTATTCGAGATCTTTGGACCCAACCCCAGAGGCAGCCCTGTGTATTCAATGCCTGATGATTTGCGTATCAATTATAATTAGATGGTAACCTGAGAGCATCCATGTCTAGGGCATGATGATCATGATGCACATATATATATATATATATATAATGTTACAATACATTACCATCATTTGCCCACACCGGGGCCAGAGTTAAGGTAAATGCTCATTTCAATGTGTTTCAAAGATAAGTTGAAAGTAAGTAGGGTTCCGATGGGGTCGGAGTCTATTATTTCCTGGCCTTAATTCACATAGATGTTCCAACCCATGTGATTCTGGCTTCAAAAAGCTTGACCAAGATTCAGATGCTCTATGGTACCCTCCATGGTTTCTTGTACCGATGGTGCGTTTTTTTGTCTCACCTTTGACGATGCTGTGTTTCAATGTCTAGCTGATTTACCTATTAAAATCGGATTATTGTCCAAAAACTATTTTAAATTACCGGAGGGTATTTGATTTTTTTGGCTGGCGTAGCTCAACTTTGTGCTTCCATTGAGGCTACATCGTCCCTGAGTACTTCAAATGGCCAGGACATTGGAAGTGCAGAGAGATTGCTGAAACCCTGTGATCGATAAAACAGAACATTGCTTGGAGGATCATACCATAAGTGGATACCCTCTGGTAAACTAACATAGCTATTGAAAATGGCCATTTATAGTGCATTCACCCATTAAAAATGGTGATTTTCCATACTTACGTTAGTTTACCAGAGGGTATAATCCAGTTATAATGGGATAACCATCTCGGAGGGGCTTAGTAACCAGGGTTATGAACCAGTTACGCTTCTGGGATGACACACCCAGTAGTTCATTGAGACAAGATGCTTTGATTTGCCACCTTTGGCCCTTTGATAAGTGTGATAGTTAATGTGGTAAAACAACAAACCATCCCCCAAATCACAATTTTTATAGGTGGTATAAACCATTCCCAAATGGGTGGTTTATGACATTGTTTTACCCACACTACACAAGGATTGACCCCACTGACTGAATGGCTAGAGTATGCTTTCTTGACACATGAATGTGAGAAATCTATACGACATTATTCCATGATGGGTAGGTCTGAATTTAAATCATGTTCTTTATAGACCTTCAAATAAGAGACCTGCTTGTTTCAGGATGGAAACAAATCACAAATCAATTCAAAAATAGGTGTTTCTCGTGCACGTTTTTTTCTGTTGGATTATCACCATCTCTTGTTTTTTATATTAGTGTTAATGTGAAACCCAAGTAGTAATCATCCCATCAACCAACCATGACTGCCATGTAAACATCATCCCAGTGGGGATGGTTTACTACAAGGTGGGCCAGTTACAAGTTGGCTAAGAAACCCCTTCAACCAGAGTTATTACCCTCTGGCTATGACTAACATAGCCATGGAAAATGGCCCATTTATAGATGGTTTACCTATTAATAATCATGGTGATTTTTCCATGTCTATGTTAGTCATAACCAGATGGTATATCTACCAGATTATTCGGCTAGTTTTAAATCAACGGAGCTATCGTTCGGGGGACCCAACTTTGTATATTTTCCTTGGGTGAATCCCACATCCCAAAGTCATCTCGATGGGCCTCCCATTTGATGTCTCAGCCCATCCATGGTTTTGTTGCTCCCTGCCTTTCGGTCAAGTCTAGAGGAGTCGATAGGAAAAAACAATGTAATCAACAATCATGCATGTAGAAAACATGTTGGTATTCAAACATGTGATTAATCAACATGTTAAAGTTCAATACCACAAACATATGTTTAGAAACCACCAACTTGATAGAACACATCATTTACCACTTTTTTTGCAGGTTTTCTTAGAGGTTGCTACACCACCCACATCACCCACCTTGACGTTGCAGGATACCTCTCCCCATCCATGGGTTTGAAGTTCAGTGACGTGCCCAACGGCTTGGCTGCCATCACCAAGGTGGATCTGGGATGGGATGGTGGGATGTAACTGTCATCCGATGTAACTGTCATCCGATAATGAAATGTTTCGTATCCTGTTTGGTTGGTGGTTTGGAACATTTTTTATTCTTCCATATATTGGGAATAATCATCCCAACTAACTAATATTTTTCAGAGGGGTTGAAACCACCAACCAGCTATAGTTGTGAACATTTCTGACTTGGGGAAAATTATTTCTGATAACCAATTTCTGATGTATCATCAACTGCATCATTTGGGATGATGGGGGGAAGAAACACAGGCCAGCACTGATCAACCCCGCCAGCGCCAATAATCCTAGAGGGGCTGGGTTCGGGTTCTATATCCTGGATGAGCCTAGATCCTGGTCGGGAAACCGAGAAACCGCTGCAAAATTTTCAAGAATTTGAAGATATCTATTTGAAGCTGATTTTCTCCTGGAAAATTGAAGGTGTTCCATTTTCAGCTATGTTTGCGATGGTACTATACATCGAGACATGAAGCAAAACAATGGAGATGGACAACTCTGCAAATATGAGGATGTCACCCTGACGATCAGGCATCAGGATTGTTATATGAAGATTGATCTGGCTTGTGGATTATTACGGATTCGTCATTGATTCTTCTTTGCGGATATTTCTGGATGATGCCACTTTCGCGATTATACATTGTCATGGGTTGAATTCATTGCATAACCAGCATAGGGGTGGATATGATACAATCGATACTAGTGGAACGCATCAACCAATTAACAATTACAGGAATTGGACCTGCAAACTTGGGGATGTGACATGTTAAAAATTCCCCTCAACAAAAATACTGGTGTGAACCCACCATGAAATATAGATCCTACTATAGATCCTATCAATGGTGTTTTATAGCCTCTATATTATATAGACATAGAGATGGACAACCCACCATTTATAGATCAATTCGCCAGGTGCCCAGCGGTGGATGGACCCAGATTGTGGCCTTCGCCGGCTACTACGAGCTCTTCGTGTACAAGTACAACGGAACACCAGGACCGGGAAAGAAAAAACAGGGATTGTTCATGAATT